GTACTTACTGGAACTTAGTCCTATAAAACAGGCTTCTCCAAATAGCTCGATGGCCTGTACACAAACTGGTCGCCAGGAAACGGCTGCTCTTTGAGAAATAAAGGGATAGAATACATGGCACAAGAGAAGAGGTGGCAGCAGTCAGAGCACCAGGGGCCTAGGCTGACGCCAAGCAGCATCCCCAGAGGCCTCAGAGGCTGAGGCAAGGGGCCTAGGAGAGGAGCGTGTGGGCCCAGGGACACCCCGGGGCTGAGTACGGCAGGGGTGCAGAGCAGGGGCCAAGGGGATTCCAGTCTGGGAGGGACCTGCGCAGGGGGTGATGTGGAAGGGAGGGGGTTTGGGGAGGAAAGGGGGGCCTCTTTTCACGGTGTGTCCAGCCGGAGAAAGAGAGAGAGAGAAAGAGAAAAGAGACACATAGAGACAGTGAGAGACACACGGAGATGAAGAGACAGGAGGAGAGAGACAGAAAAACAGAGAGAAAGCGAGACAGAGGAAGAGAGAGACAGGCAGACAGACAGACACACATACACAGAACTGTATTGTCCTTAGGATCGGTATCTATCTGAGAAGGGAAGGGAGATGAAGGTGGAGGGGAGGGGCTGGGCCTGCCCCTCTGACACAGGACTGGGGCGGGGTGGGGGGCGGGGTAGGTATTCCAGATCCTTCCCAGGAGGGCCTCCCTTCATCACAACTCTCATCTCTCTCACATCAGGGTGGTTTCAGGGCAGCTCTGCAGAAACCGGGAGAGGAGGCCGAGAACACTCTGTGCCTCTCTTTCTCTTCCTCTCTCTTCCTCTCTTCCTCTCTGTTCCTCTCTCTCTCAGCCCATCTGCCCTCCGGTCCTGCTCTTGCAGGAGCAGGCATGGGCCTCGCCGGGTCCCTACTGCCTCTCACTGCTGGGTCCCCTTGGCCCGCTCCTGACCCCAGAAACCCGACGACAACGCCTCTCTGGAGCAGGGAGATGTTTGGAATTCTAATTCTGTTTGTGAGGCGCCTGGACCCTGGGGCCTGGGATGCAGGCGGCTTGCTCAGCTCTCCTGGAGCAGTCTCTGCTTCACAGTCTGCCAGCCCAGCCCCCCTGCGGGACCGCAGGGACAGCGTGTCACATGCTCAGAGCCAGCAGCTCTTGCTTGAGAGGGGCCCATGGCAGGCAGGCATGGCCCCAGCCCCCACTGCTGAATCCACACCTTACTGGGTCCCAAGAGCCCGGTCGCCCCATGCTCAGGGTCTTATCACCACTCTGCTCGGGGGAGCCATCTGCTCCTCCCCACTCTGGCCCCTCTGCCAACACATCTGCTTGGGGGCCACCTGGAGCTTTGTGTCCTTCTGAGCATCTGGCAGTGGTAGGGCCTCCAACCAGCTCAGGGGGCAGGGGCCCCAGATAGGCTGGGACAGGTTCTGCCGGGGAAACTGGGAGAGCATGCCTGCTGAGTGATGCATTCTCACCCCATCTCTGAGCCTTCTGCTTCAGCAGCACAGTGCCCAGGGCAGCTGTGGAGGCTGAATGAAGAGAGGTCCACCCCCTCTCCAGCTCTCCCCCCACCCCAGTGCTATAGACTGAATCTGTGTTCCCCCAATCCATATGCCAAAGCCCTAACCCCCAGTGTACAGTATCAGGGTGTGGGACCTTTGGGAAATGATCAGTTAGGTGAGGTCATGAGAGTGGAGTCCCCACAAGAGGAAGAGACCAGCATACTGTCTTACCTCTGCATGCCCCCGCCACTACGTGAAGACCCAGCAATAAAGAGGCAGTCTGCAAGCCAAGAAGTGAGCCCTCCCCAGAAGCTGACCATGCTGGTACCCTGATCTCAGACTTCCAGTCTTCAGGGCTGTGAGGAAGCAATGTCTGTTGGTTAAGTCACCCTGTCCATGGTATTTTATTTTGGCACCTGGGCAGACTAAAACACCTGGAGGGTCACCTCCCCAGTTTTCCTCCTGAAAAGTGCTCCCCAAATCCACCACACACAGCTAACTATATGGGCTATGGAGCCCCCATCCCTCCTGCCCACTAGCAGAGGGGCACAGATGAGAGAGGGTAAAGACTAGACCAGAAACTTCCAAGGGGGCTCCAAGAACCCAATCTGAGGCCACTCAGAAGTGGTGGCCATCAAGAGATAGCACTCTATAGCAATCTAAATGTCCACTGACAGATGACCAGGTAAAGAAGATGTGGTGTGTGTGTGCTCACTTGCTCAGTTGTGTCCAACTCTTTGCGACCCCATGGACTCTCGCCTGCCAGGCTCCTCTGTCCATGGACTTATCCTGGCAAGAATACTGGAGTGGGTTGCCATTTCCTCCTCCAGGGGATCTTCCTGACCCAGGGATCAAATCCAAGTCTCTTGCGGCTTCTGCATTTGCAGGCAGATTCTTTGTCACTGGGCCACATGGGAAGCCCTAAAGAAGATGTGGTACATATACACAATGGAATACTACTCAGCCATAAAAAAGATGAAAAATAATGCCACTTTGTAGCAACAAGGATGGACCTAGAGATTATCATACTAAGTAAAGTAAGTCAAACAAAGACAAATATCATATGATATCACTAACATGTGGAACCTAAAAAAATAATACAAATGAACTAACTTACAAAACAAAAATAGACTCACTGGCATAGAAAACAAACATATGGTTACCAAAGAGGAAAAGAGAGGGATGGAGGGGTAAATTAGGAATTGGGGATTAACAGATACACACTACTATATAAAAAATAGATAAAAACAAGGATCTACTGTATAGCATCAGAAACTATATTTAATATCTTGTAATAATCTGTAATGGAAAAGAACATGAAAAAGGATATATATATATTCAGCCCATGGAATTCTCCAGGCCAGAATACTGGAATGGGTAGCCTTTCCCTTCTCCAGGGGATCCTCCCAACCCAGGGATTGAGCCCAGGTCTCCCACATTGCAGGTGGATTCTTTACCAGCTGAGTCACAAGGGAAGCCCATATATATATATGAATCACTTTGCTGTATACCTGAACTAATACAAATCAAAAAATTCTTTTAAAAAAAGAAAAAGATATTTTTAACCTGTCTACAGATGATGAAACTATGGTGAAAAGATAGAGCTCCACGCCGAGGGAATGACTCAGGGTATTGAGGTTCCACAGCCACAGGCCGGAGGTGAGGGGACTCGGCATCACAGGAACAGGCCTGCTCCCAAGGAGCTCTAGAAGAACTATGTATGAAGCCGCCATCCCCCCGGGGAAGTCACTGAAAATGGTATTGAGGCCACACAGTCCTGCAAACTTAGAGGATGACCCCAGGTGATCTGAGATGTCAGCATAGGCAAGAGGCACCAGGGAAACAGAAAGAGCAAAATCGGCCACACTTGAGGCCCCACCAATGCAACCAGAACACTCTCCTTCTGGGAGCCTGCAGTGGATACAGCCCCAGCCAACCTGCTGGGGACAATTTTGAAATTGCTCACTGCTCCGGGCCAAATGGCTAGCAGTGAGGATAGCATTTGCCAGGGGCACAGGGCTGGACCTGGGCAGGCCTGGCGGCAAGACCTCAGACCCTTAGGAGGGCCCTGAAACCAAGCTGAAGCTTCCCGGCTCCCAGACAAGAAGTGGGCCCTCTGGGCAGCCGGGACAGACAGGAGGGGTGTGTGCATCGCCAACAGCCCCTACCTCCCTCGTCTGGCCTTGGCAGCCTGCTGACTGGCGCTGTAAGGGCAGCTAGCACAGGCCTGAAACAAGTGAACATATCAGCAGTACTTGGGCCCTCTTTCTTTGGAAATTCGGCATTTTGCTCATCAGAATTTTTTGCATTGATTTTTGATTTTTTAGAATTTGCATTAAAATATTTATCTTGATGATTGATGTTTTTGGTGCCCCCTTAAAGAATGGGCCAGAGGAGGGGCCTCCCTCTCCTCTTGGCCCTAACAAGGCTGTCGGTGACCCCCATCCCCCCAAGTGCTCTAGAGCCAACCAGCACCCCACACGTGTGGAACAGAAACAGTTTACCACGGGGAGCATTGTATCCCCGGGACAAACAAGAAGGCGGCATGGGCCAGCCCCTGTCTGATGTGGTAGGCTCCCCCACAGCAGGCCACAGGCCCCACCTCTCACTGCCACCATGCCAGCTCTCTGCTTGTGCCAAAGACCCCATCTCCCTTCTCTCCAGCTGCCCCCCATGGCCCCCCCGCATAGGATTTCTCATCCAAACTCCGCCGGCAGGAGCGTCGGTGACCAGCAGATGCGGGCTTCCTGCTGCCTGCAGCTTGTGGGCGCCCCGACCTGGGCTGGTTGTTTTTCTCCTAACATCATTAGCCCTGCCAGGAGCAGAACCAGGCCAGTGTTTATGCTGACCTCATCATTTCACAGAAGAAGGAGAAGAAAAGACATGTGAGGGGGAAACCATGCCAAAGGGACTGGATCCGGGCCCTCTCCCCCATCTCCCCAACCCTGCCTGGCTGAGGGGAGCAGGCAGGCACTCCCCTCCACCCTGTCACCAGTTCTGGCTCCTTTCCTCATTGCTTGGGCACAAAGCTGGCTCACAGGATGTCTGGATTTTTCTTTGTTTTGGAAAAAGTAACTGCTCTCCACTTCTTACCAGGAGCAACGGTTCTTGGGCTTAAGTGATTCTTGCGGGGAGGTGTGGGCATCTGAGAGCTCTCACAATGTCTGCTGAGTCTTGCCTCGTGGCTAGGTAGTTGGTTCTGCCACTAAGATCCCATGTCCCCCTACCCGCCTCCCCAGCTGGGGTTTTAAATTCCCCAGACCCTCTACCCAGCAGGGGTCACTTCCCAGGCCTCCTGGCAGCAGTGACTCCCAGGTCACAGGGCTGGACTCTAGAGCAGCAGGTAGAGGACTCAGCGTGCCCAGCCAAGCCAGTGCCCCACAATTCACTCCCAGCAGATTGTCCCTAAAGCGCCTGCGCATACACTCGGCTACGGAGGCACAAACACTCGATCAAGTTAAACAAGCCACGGAATGCAAGAACATGGAAGAAACTCTTCTAGAAAACTGACTGTGGCAGAGAGCTACCTTTTCCTTCTTGGCGATCTCCATCCTGGCTCTGTCATCCAGCATTTGTACCGCAGCCAGCCCAGGGGAGCTGGGACCCCTCAGCGTTCCTCGACAGGCTTCCAAGGCAGAAATATCCCCGGACTTCTCCCAACCAAGGGTCACAGCTGGCCCAGGTATCTGGTTGAGTATGGTCCACCTTCTGGCTGGTTTCTGGCTTGATGTTCAATCACAGAGTTTCCTCCTTTTCATTGCTCTCCAGTTTTCTCTCCTGGGTCACAGTCGGGACCTTTCCCCACTGAGGCCTCGTCAGGCTAGGTATGGTCCGGGGAGGGCCATTGCTGGGCTCCCAGGGCTGGTCAGCTTTCTCTTTGGGCTGTGCTGAGCTGTGATGGCCTGGTGCTCTCTAAACAGACTCAGCAGAAAAGATCCTCCTTCCTCCCGTGTCTGGGGGACAGCCTTTGAGTCATGAGGCTGCAGACGACTGTGCGTCTCTCACACACCAACCTGCTTCCCTGAGGCTCCGTCACCGCCCAACACTTCCTGCTCCGACCAGGTGTGGAGTGGGGAATTCTCCTGCCAGGGCTTTCTGAGCTCCTGCGAGGGCCCACGCTGCCATGGCAACCAGGAGCAGGCCTCTGTGCTCACGCCCTCCGGCCTCTGCAGGGCTGACCATCCTGTCATTAGAGCTGCCATGCAGAAAACTGGGGCTGATGGCAAAAGGCCTCCATCTTGACATCACCATAGCAACAGCCTGATCATCTTATCACTGTAGACTTTGCCACCTGTCCAGTTCCCAGGTGAGACTCAGAGGGTCTTCCAAACTCAAGTCCTAAGGGGGAGAGGCCCCTGGGGTTCTGGGAACCAGAGGAGAGGGGACGGGTGGCTTAGCCACTGGCATGGCCACACGTGCTCAGACCACTCTCAAGCTTGGTCACTGCCTTCCCTGCCTACCATCTGGAAATCTGAACTCCTCTAGTATCCAGCAGAGGGAGCAAGGAGTGGCCAGGGAGAATTCTCCAAATGTACATTTCCACTGTAACACTTTTAAGCCACTTTTGTACTGATGGTCATCTGGTCAGTTTCAGTTTTTCTCCATTGCAAATCTTTGTCTTTTACCAGAGTCAACACATGCATGTGTTTCTTCGGGATGGTTCCTAGAGGCTGAATTGCTAGGTCAGATGCTGGGCACATTTTAGGATTGCTTGCAAAGGACTACGTTACCCCCTCAAATGGCTTCACTAATTAATCTTTCCACAGTCACTGGAAGTTTGGTTCCATGCTGGCCAATTCATGAGTTGATAAAACTTGTACTTATCTGTTGTGTTTCATTATCATTTGAGTGGCAAAGTGTTGGACACCTTTTCATATGTTTATAGTTATTTGTATTTCTTTTCGTATGGATGATTTGTTTTTATTACTTAACTATTTTGTTATTAAATTGTCTTCTACTTTTCAGTTTGTATTAACTATTTTTATATTCCATCCATAATATCTAATAATCCTTTGCTTGTTAAATATGCTATAATACCTGTCCCCCATCTATTGCTAAGCATATGGCTTGATCACTGATGTCTTTCATCACACAGTATTTCTTTTTTATGAATTTTATTCTTTGCTTTCTTTTGTGAAGCTCTTGTCTTGCTAAGAAAAGCATTTTCCACCCAAATTAGAAAAATGCTGTTCCACATTTCCTTCTAATATTTTCTCAATTTGTTTATGTTCAGCACTTCTGTCCCAATAATTAGTGCATAGTTTGAGGGTAGGAGTCTAATGAGTTTGAGTAAGCTCTGGGAGTTGGTAATGGACAGGGAAGCCTGGTGTGCTGCAGTCCACGGGTTGCAAAGAGTCAGACATGACTGAGTGACTGAACTGAACGTCATTGAACTGAGGAGTCTAATACTTGTTGGCTATCCTTTTCCCACTGACTTGTGCTATTGACTGCACCACAGTTTGTGCTCCATTGTCGTATTTCTCTGTTGTGAGGGAACGATTCAGCTCTAGTCACCTTGCAGGAGTACACATAGGTGCACAGCTAGCCTAAGCACTTTGTGGTGTTCTAGGAAGTGAAGCTGGACTTGGGAGGAGCTGTGCCGAGGCCACCTCACGCTCTTCTCTCCATCTGCCCAGGAGGCATCCAGTAGTTTCCCCTCCTCTCTGATTCTGAGACGTGAGGCTTTCTGCCCCAGCCCCTCAGCATGTAGCCGCCATTTTGACTGGGGTCCCAGCCAGAGGTAATGCCTTGGGGTGACTTGAGGAGCAGGCATCCTGCCTCTTTGGTTGAGTATCATTCTTTCCGGTACATGGGACAAGGATGGAAAACAGCACGTTTGGGTGCTCTCCTTTTTCTTTCTTTTTCTTTTTTAAGTTGCTGCCCGTGTCAGTAACAAATTGTCTGAATGCAAAAATGACTCTTAGAACTCTGCCTGTCCCGTCTTAGCCCCACAGTTGTCTATGAACTAGACATCTCTCTGTCCATTCTTGTGGATACCACACTCTTTCAGTCAGCATAACATTTTAGCTTTTTTCATATCTGTTAGGACAAACATCTCCCTTTTTTTCCCTACAAAATTTTTTTACCATAAGCCTCTTTCATATAAACCTTAAAATCTACTCATCCCATTTCACTAAAATAATGCTGCTGATAATTGCACTGGAGAGGCATTGAATTTGTGGATTGGGAGATCCATTTTAGAGAACTGACATCTTTATAACGTCAAATCTTCTTATTCAGAATTTGGTATATGCCCCATTTGCTTAGGTCTTCTTTTATGCCTTTCAGCTTTATTATTTTTCTCTTATAGATAAATTTCTTATTAGATTTATTCCTAAAGAAAGGAAATATAATAGGAGAAGGAGAAATTGTCATTATAACTAATATTGATTAAAATGTTTGATTGACAAAGTACTTTTATATTCTTTATGTCATTTGATCAGATAATCTTGAGGCAGTAGGCATGGGTGGTATTATTTTCATGACTTCCCCCCCACCACCACTTTCAGATAAGTTCACTGAGACTGGGGAAGTTGAAGTATTGGGCTGAAAAGAACTGTGATGCTCACCATCCCCCAGGGACAAGAGACAAGGCAATCCTCTTGCAGAGCCCTGCCCTCCCTGGCCACAGTTGATATGTAATCCAAGGGCAGCCACACACTGCACACTGGTCAGAGCCTTGGGGGTGGCCCCACAGGAGACATTTACCCAATAGGGACTACTTGAAACAACAGGTTGTAATTTGGAGGCCTCAAAAGGGCAGAATCTCTGAGCATTCAAGTCTCCAAAGTAAAGTCCTGCATCTTCTCCCTGAGGGGAGGTAGAGGATGGTACATTCCTTGCTGAAGTATCTGTGGAGCAGGAGGGGAGGGAGCAGCTCCCTTTGCTTCCCCTCCCCCCCACCCAGGTCCCAGTGTTTCAGCCCTTCACTCTGCTAAACCCCCATCACCTGTGCCTCTCATCAATTTAAACCTTTCCACCTTGGTTAGTATCTCCCATTTTTTGTCCTTCTCCTGCTCTCTTTCTGTCATTCTAGTGGAGTTCATATAAACATACTTATTTCATCTTCTATGTTTAACCAGAAGTTTGTACCTACTGTTTGAGGTTCACTGACCTTTTTCATCTGAGCAAATCCCGTTGCTTCTCCCAAGCCTTAAACACAAAGTCTTAGACTGTGCCCTGGTTAGATAGCCTACCCTGTGGTCTGCATTGGTTGACTGAGGCCTGTGTTAGGGGCCCAACTGTAAGACCAATCTCTGAGGCAGTAGGGAAGGCCTTATGTTGATTGGCTCAGATTTTCTGGTACCCACGTGCTAGCAGGGATGCAGAGCTTCAGAGGGTGGAAAGGTTGGGGAAGGGGAGGGGACAGAAGGGGATGGAAGAGGCTATGGAGGGGGCTCGCAGTCCTCTCAATAGCTTGTGCTTTTAGATTCTTCATAGTGCCTTTTCCTATGTGATGTCTCCCATTCTGCTTTCTGCTCTCAGAGGTCCTGGGGACCAGGCTGGTGCAAGGCCCAGACTCCTCTTTTGTGGTGGCCAGCTCTGTCCCTCTTGCTCGGCCTCTACCTGCCTCCCTGCCTTCCTTCCTATCCTGCAGAATTTCTCCCACTTTTTTGTGCAGGTCAGCGCCATAGTGGTAAAGGTGCCTCAGGTCAAGTCACTAGTCTAAATGACTGTGTATCCAGCATGGGCTCTGTATCCATCTCTAGATGCAAAGCAGGGAAGCGGTGCCTGGTGTTGCAAATATAGGTCCTGGCAAGGTAATTCTGAGGGGGCCTGTCCCTCTATTCAGGTGACTCCCAGCTGGGTCATGTCTTTCTTGACTGTGATCACTTCCTGCCCACTGCCTCCAGGTAAACCTGCTCATAGTAGACCCCGTCCCCTCCTGCTCTGACATCTTCTGTTCCCTTTGGTCTGGTGGCAGAGCTATGTCTGTGTCTGTCTTCCCTGTGGCCTGGAGAAACTGGTGGAAGCACAGGACAGGTGGGTAAGTGGTCATGGGAGTGAGCAGCATTCCTGGAGGCCGAGTCTGCTAGTAGACCCTGGTGGATGGCATGAGGTCTGTGTTCCTCAGACTTGGTGAGCTACTAAGAAAAAATTCTCCTCTGCCCTCTTTGGTTCTCTAGCTGGACTGAAGAATTACACTGACAGTAATAGGAGAAATGCATACAGGTTTTATTTAAAATTTTAGTTGCATATAGGAGCCTTCACAAGAGAATAAAGACCCAAAGAAGTGATGAGTAAAAAAGTTTTTATACTTTTATCTTTTTTTTTTTTTAAAAGCAATAAATTTGTGAAGAATTGAAAAGACAACAGTGTTGGGTAGGGAAAGTAAATTGTGGAGAAGTGACTAAAGAAGATGAGAGTTGGTTCAAAATAATCAATATGTCAAAGCAGCATATTTAAGGTGACATGCTCTGAACTCTTTTGGAAGCCTGACTACATTGAAGGTCCCTTTCAAGGGCTCTTTCCTGGGTATTCTGTGGAGGCTGGTGTTAGGCTTAGAGTGAAAACAGCCCTACTGCCCTAGCCTTGACTGGTCAGACAAGAGGGTATGGGGACTGAAGCCGGTGAGTGGCTGGGTTTCCCCCCTGGGCTGGGCCTCCTGGGGTATGCCCCTCAGCCTGCTTTTTTACATATTTACTTCTTTATTTGTTTGGCTGCATCGGGTCTTAGCTGTGGCATGTGGGATCTTTGTTGAGTCACGCAGACTCTCTCCAGTTGTGGCACAAGTGCGCAGTGGTTGAAGCACATGGGCTTAGTTGCGCCGTGGCCTGTGGGATCTTAGTTCCCCTAACCAGAGGTCAAACTCATTTCCCCTGCTTTGCAAGGTGGATTCTTAACCACTGGACCACCAGGAAAGCCCCTCTGTCAGCATTCATCTGGCTCCCTAGAGGCTTTCGCTGTCCAGCTAAATTGAGCACCTTCTATGAGCTGAGCAAAGCCTCAAAGGGGGGTGGCAGTCTGCCTTGCCCAGCAGGGGCTAATTTAGAGACCCCCAGCCATTTGTCATGGACAATCTTGTTCCAGTTCTGTCTGCAGGGCCTAGTACTGCAGGGAGCCAGGACTCCAGAGAGCTGTGCCACCCCTGCCTGTGTGGGCACTGCATGTATGACGTCAGCACTCCTGCCCTACAATCTTTCCTAGTCCCATAATTTCAGACTTACAGGACAGCTGCAAGGACAGTACAGCAAACTCCTGGATACCCTTCATCCTGACTCTTTTCTTTTTCATCCTGTCTCTTTAAATTTATGATATTTACCTTTAAATATATTATGGGTTTCCCAGGTTGCTCAGTGGTAAAGAATCCACCTCCCAATCAGGAGACTCAGGTTCAATCCCTGGGTCAGGAAGATGCCCTGGAGAAGGAAATGGCAACCCACTCCAGTATTCTTGCCTGGGAAATCCCATGGACAGAGGAGCCTGGTAGGCTCCAGTCCATGGGGTCGCAAAAGAGTCGGACACAAATCAGTGATTAAACAACAATTTGTATTTCCTAAAAAAAAAAAAAAAAAAATTCACTTACATAACTATAACACCACGATCAAAATCACTAAATTAGAAGATACAATACCATTCTACAATCTATAGCCCTTCCTTAGATCTCAGCCTACTGTCAAATCTCCACTTCCCACATCCTGCAGGATCCCTATAACCTACCATGATCTCTCCTCCTTTTTTGTCATGGATGATAACAATACACATAATCATCATTGTTAAACATCTATATGACTAGAGCTTGGAATATAATGCCTTATCATTCCTAGCAATGTGCCTATGGGAAGGAAATTTTTCCAGTTTTACAGATGAGAGAAAGAGACACACACACTCAGAGGGGTTAATCGTTTGTTCACTTCTGTGGTTCTGTGGTTTGTGGCAATGCTAGGATTGAATCCAAGTTGAATAACTTCTGGGGTGATGAAGTGGAATGTGGATCTTACTTTTCAGTAAGACAGATAAGCTTGGGGAATTGGTAACCACATAGACCAAGAGAGGCTATCTGCGGTGATGGTGGCTGAGCAAGGCCAGAGAGGAGGGAGAGAGCTGTTAGAGGTGTATGAGAAAGTTTGCTCCTTGTTTTGGTGTTGACACGTTCCTCTTTCCTTAACCTGAATCTCAGTTTGTATATCTGTAAGGTGGTAATAGTATCTTCCTGTTTTTGTGAGGATTAAATGAGGTCACATATGGAAAGTGCTTGGTCTAAGGGAAAGTTCAGGACGACTACTACTATGTTTCAAGTAAATACATTTAAATTTATTCCAACAAATACTGTCCGTCTGATTCCTCCTTTTGTTTGACGTTCAGTGGCCAAAAAAAAAAACCCACCAAAAAACAAAAAAACGGACTCAGAATTTTCTTCAGAAATGGCTCTCACACGCCCCCTACAGGGCAATTGTGTCAGTGCAGTCAGGATGGGTTACACACAGTTCAGCGTCCTGTCTTTTTGAGACACTGGCCTGGCATTGGCCTCTCTGTTCCTGAGGTTAGGTAACAAAATGTCGGGGATGGGAAAAAGCCCTTCCGTACACCCTTGCACTTGAAAATACCCAGGTCGATGAGAAGGGTGCTGAGTGAAAAGGCAGGCGGTGGGAACTTCCTTCAGCCAGCAGAATAGTGCATTTGGCAATGTCCAGAGACGTTTTTGGTTGCCAAATGGCCATTGAGGTACCACTTGCATCTAGCTGGGGTAAAGACCTGAAATGCTGCCTACGATGCATGGACCGCCCCCAACAACAAAGAATTATCCAATCCAAAATATCACCAGTGACAAGACTGAGATACTCTGATTGAGAGCCATGTTTTGAGTGATGCTGTTGGTTTTTCAAACATACCATCTCTTTCCCATCATTTCAGATCTGGCTGCTTCTAGCACGACGGTTGTGTAACCTTCCCGCCAATTTCCAAATATCAAGGTCCTTTTAGCTGTGTCTGTCCTGCAAGATGCTTTCTGATAACATACCATTTAATAAACAAGAAGATAAAAGACGTACTACCCTCAGAGAACTGAGCCTTATTCACCCCCATCCACTGAAAAAGCATTATTCCAACATTTCAAGCAAAATGAGGTTTTCCAAGTCATGGTATGCCAAGTGCTCCTTCAGTTTGGAGCTGTGGGAAGGGCAAGAGAGGGTTCAATTAACTGAAAATAAGAGGCAAGCCTTCACCTCCCGGCAGGAGCCTCGAAAAGTTCCCTACCCTTCACTCAAAAAGATCTGATTTACAAAAGACTTTCCTAGAAGGCAGTTCGCGCATAAATCAAAGTCCCTGGTGTAGCGTTTACAAAGCACTGGCGTGTGGGTGGGGCTCTGGGTCTCACTGCTCAGAGGAAGGACAGCCCCCGGGACACAGGTGTTCCTACAGTACTCAGAAGGACCGGGAAGAAGCCGGAGGGCGCTGGGAGGACTCAGGACGGCCAGGGAAGGAGGGAGAAGGCCTCGGAGAGATAAGACCAGCAGGAGAAGGGTAAGGACTCACAGTGAGACACCCAGGTGGCCTACGAGAACGCCGACAGCGCCTCACGCGCACGCGCAAGACCCCGCACCACCCCCTCGTTCGTGTTTCCGGCTGCTGCTTTCTGCATCCGGGGCACGAGAAGACTCCATTAGGCCTCGGGCGGCGGCCCCTGACCGGAGCCGGAAGTGAACCACGAGCCAGGAGAAGGAAGCCGGTGGCCGACCCGTCAGCAGCCGGCGGCGGCCTCGAGGGGCGGCGCTGCGCTGCTCCCTGCGAACCGGTGCCGCTGCCGGGCGGGTGGCCAGCCCAAGGGCCCGGCGCCATGAAGCTGTACAGCCTAAGCGTCCTGTATAAAGGCGAGTCCAAGACGGTGCTGCTCAAGGCCGCATACGATGTGTCCTCCTTCAGCTTTTTTCAGAGATCCAGGTGAGTGGGCCCAGGAGGGCGGCGCCCGGACGGGGAGGCCCGGGGTCCGGGTTGGAGACCGCCCGGGAATCGAGACCCGGGGCTTGGCCTCCCGCATTGGAGCCGGTGACCTTTTCCTTGGCCTGCGGATTGTGCCTTTGAGAAATCATTCTCCTTTCAATCGTGGAAAGCCGTAGCCCATTCTGGAATGTAGTCCGTAATCAGGGGTTTTCAAATTTTCTGTCTTATAAAAATGACGGGGGGGGGGGGGCTTTGAGAAAGGGCAGATTCCTCTAGGTTCACGCCCAGTTGAGTACCAGCAATCTGTATCTTAAACCAGCAAATCCCACTCAGTGGTTCTGACCCAGGAAGCTCACGTGCCACACCTTAAGCGCCACGTTTGTATTATCTGGCTGGGCTTTCCAACAGTTCGGTGTGAGAGTTCCTGGTACACTCTATCATATTATGGAGGAAGTCACTGAGGCCCCAGGAGATGGATACCAAACCAGCCAGGACTCCAACCCAAATTGTATGCTCTTTACGGTTGGGCTCTAGTGGTACAAAAGCGTTCTACAGTGAAGATTTGGAAGGAAGCTTGGAAGGAGGTTTTAGGGCTTACAAACCTTTAAACATTTGCGAGGCACCTTAATGCAATCAAGTGTGTGTTAGAAGTACCACAGACACTTAACAGCCTGTTTGTGGGAGGGGTGGCGGTGACTCAGGCACAAAAGGAGAAAGACCCTACAAAGTCTGTGTCTGTGGACACCCAATCTCCAGGTCTGATGGCATCTGGATTCTGTCTTCATTACTTGGTGGGCTGTTTTGTTCTTGATGAGAGTGGCTTGATGGCAGGATCTCAAACAATTCCACTTGTTATTTTGTTGAAACTTTCTGCTGCTTTTTGGGTCCTTCTTGATCCTTAGCACTCTCTATCATGATCTCTAGTCTCTGTTCTGTGTTGCTGCTTTTCTTTGATGGAACTTTGGGTGTTAACTTGGTTAACTCTTGATTCTTTTCCTTTCTCTCTTTCCCCTACTGACATTTACTGAGGATCCTCAGAGATTTCACTTTCGGACTTTCATCTCACTGGTTTTCGGTATCCAGACCAGTTTCAGTTGATTAACACACCGATAGTACTGTAGGGAAATCTCTACAAGTGTCTCTTAAAACAACACATAGTCCAGTTGAGCCCATTGTTTTCTCATAAGTCCTCCTCTCTTCTGTCCTGCCCACCTCATGATTATCAGAATGCAAACCTCAGAGCTTCAAAACATTTTCCAGCTTTTCTGGCTCTTGTATGCAGAATGTCACAATGAATGCAGTTCTTCCTTTGTCTAATTATAGTTCTACTCTAAGCTCTGTCTCTTTTTAGTTTTATTGCAAGGACTTCCTTATTTTCAGACTTTCCTCTAAGGGATTTTTCTGGTCCTATTCACTCTCTCAGGATATTAATAACAAGTAATACTATGCGCCAGACATCGTGCTAAGTGCTCATTTAGTCATCACAGCACGTCTCGATTTATAGACAAAGCACGGTACAGTAAGTCCCTTACCAGAGGTCACACATCTCGTAGTGATGGAGCTGGGATCCCAGCCAGGGAAGTCCACTCCAGACATTGTGAGTCCTCACTCTGCTGTGTGGCTCTTGATGTGATCTCAGGAGTGTATGAATCTGCTGGAACCAACTGTGGATTCCACATGTCAGGACCCTGCACTGACAGCCCTTTATATGACATTCCCAGTCAGAGGCTTCTTGTTAACTCTGGTTCCTCCAGCTGGACTGTTTTCACCTGTGACTCTTCCATTCTGGCCACATCTTTTTCTTGGGCCCGTGAACCTCCTCCTCTCCCTCAGCCTTGGTACAAACCATTTTCTCTTTCCTTGTCTTGGTTGAGCCCTTGCCCTCAATTCTGTCCAGAGTGTCCCAGGCCTGTACAATGGATTAGCCCCACCCAACCTGAGGCTAGAGCCAGCATTCACTGTCGCATTGCAGGGTCCAGCGTGTGGCAGCTGCCATAACTGACTGTGCATCCGCTAAACAGTTTTTGCCACTTAGGTGTCTCCATCACAGATTTTATTTCTTCCCACTTCTTGGGAGTTAGTGTAGCCTTGATTACAGGAGCTGGCCTCTGCTTCTCTGCTGTGTCCCAAATCATACTCTGACCAAAATGTTAAATTAACTATAACCTGTGGAAGATTCCCCAGAATTCTGGAAGTGGGTTGTTTGGGTCTGCTCAGTAGCAAGCAGATGTGGTTTGAATGGTTGTGATGATGTGTAATTATCTGTATTCATGATCATCGACAGGGTGTTTATTAGTTCTTCCTAAGGTTGGAAGGGAAGGAATTAAGCCAGGAAGCAATGTCTCCTTAGTCTATAAGCTCAGGGGTCACTTTGCGTTGTGTTGGTACAAGGTGACAGGAACAGGTAATATGTGTTGTGTTTCTTAGCGTTCAGGAGTTCATGACCTTCACAAGTCAGCTGATTGTGGAGCGCTCAGGAAAAGGCAGCCGAGCTTCTGTGAAAGAGCAAGGTAAGAAGACCTACCACCTTGTAAGCACGTGCTGGCCTGGCTGCCCCACCTCAGATGGCCTAGAGCTCTGTCCACGGAGGGGCTGCCTTTGTGATGGAGAGCGTTCCCAGGACCACGATCTCTGCTGGCTTCTCTCTTCCCTCCTACACTCCCTGTTATGCAAAATTCTGTGCCCACTGTTGGTATGTTGGTTGCTTCCTTAAATCACCCCCAAAAGCTTAGACTCGCTTACAATTAGGGTCTGCCTCTCTTGGAGCAGTAAGCAGCCTTCCTGCTTTGTCCTCTTTTGCTTTTGGGGTTGTAAACATCTCAGAAAAGGACCTCTACCCAGCCCTGTTGAGGAAAAACTATTCTGTGCTGCTTAGTGCTTTTGCCCAGGAGCCTGGAGACCCCTTATTTTTCCTCATGACCTTAGTTTTTTCTTCTTCATGATTCAGGTTTCCTATAAGAATTTTTAGGCATTTGTTTTAGGAGCATTTGGTTAGCTTTGTCACCTCTGAATCCTTTCCAAATGACAAAATATCATTTCAAGGATTGTGACTGTTTTGCAGAAGCCCTGTATAGGCTGTACCTTTTGATAATTTGTTGACTTCAGCACAGTCGTACTTGAGACCTCAGCCAGCCCTGGCTCATTTTTTTCTGGATGGGCTTTATCTCTTCCTCCCTCTCCTGCCCCATCCCCATCAAGGCTCACCACAGACTGGAGCAGGCTAGGTTGCTGTAGTGAGGAAACCTGGTGCCCTGACAGGCTCAAGCCAGGAAATCTTTTACCAAGTTTCTTGTGTATATATGAAAATGGAAGCCACTTAGCTTGTCCAGAGTTCCATCAGCTTGGGAGCAGAGCAGAGCACCTCTGAGGGCTGCAGCTTCCAAGACACAGCGGAGCCTGACCTCGAGCTCAGGGTGGGACTCGGGCGAGCCCCTGGGGCCGTTTCCTGGGATGTTTCTGCGCCACTGGTGATCCTTCGACCCTGGCTTTGCGCGCTGGGCCTTGGGACTTTCACTCGCCCTGCAGCAGGTGTTGGGCCACACTGCCAGCAGAGCCCCTGCACATGCTGCCCTGTGTGCAGGGCCTCACCGCAAACCCGGCTCAGAGCCGCTTTGCCGACCCAGAGGACAGAAGCCCAGCACTGTATCTGTCAGTCCAGCGGCTCTGGCGGGTGAGAAGTCTGAGGCCCTCCCGTCATCCTCTTGTCTCCGTAGAATACCTGTGCCACGTCTACGTGAGAAATGACAGTCTTGCGGGAGTGGTCATTGCTGACAGTGAATACCCGTCCCGGGTGGCTTTTACCTTGCTAGAAAAGGTGAGTCTGCAGCTTGGCTGGACTGGACTTGGGCAGACAGGCGTGGACTGGGACCAGGAATGACGTAAGGGATGAAATAGTGTGTCCAAAATCAGCCTGCTTTCAGCCTCCTCACTCTACACCAAGAGACAGTCTGGGAGCCTTCTCATTCCCGACTGTCTCATCCCGCCCTACCCCTGTCCCCCACTGATTTCTGCTTCTCATCCTACTAGTGTCCCTGGGGCCACCTTGGCTCTCCTTGTCAGCCACAGAGTCCCAGCATCTCTCCTTCCCAGTGGGTCCCTCGGGTCAGCTCTGGCTGTGCTTTCGCCCCCACTCACTCCACTTTCCAGCTCTGCTCCTGCTTCCGCCCTGAAAGTCGTGACTTTCAGTTCCTTCTGAGCCACACTAGGCTGCATGTTCTGCCCCATGACCCACCTCCCTTCTTCCCTTCCTCTGCTCTTTCAGGCCATTCCTGCACACACCAGGCTCCTCGCCACCTGCCGCGCTTCTGCTCAAGGAGTCCCCCTGCTGGCCCTTCCTGCAGTTACAGCTGCTGCTTTCCCCAGTATGGGACTGGTGCCTCCTCATTCTTCAATGTGTTTCTTTGTGGTGCAGATGATAAACTCCTCAAACACCCTGGCCCCACATCCCCTAAAACACACATGCGTATAAGCACATGAAGTCTGATGGCTGCTTAAATTCAAATGACCTAATTACCTTTTTGAAGAATTGGTTGTTTTTTTTTTTTTTAAGAATTGTTTTGAAAAATTAAAGGTTCAGTATCCTTTTTCCTGGAAATTCACAACCTGAGAAAAGTGGAAATATGTAATTTTAATTTCTAATAATTTATCATTCCCAGATGAAGTTCCTATCAGGCTGGGCATACTTGGATTTTAATTCCAAGAATACTGAAGAAGAAGAAACTTGGACCTAGATTTTCTCCCTTGCCATTAGCCATCCTCCTCTGCCTTCCTCTGTGGGTCCTGGGGTCCTGAGAGCCTCTTTTGGATGAGCACAGAGATGGGGCTGTTGTTGAGCTCCTCTGTCTTGCAGGTACTAGATGAATTCTCCAAGCAGGTCGACAGGATAGACTGGCCAACTGGATCCCCTGATACCATCCAGTACACAGGCCTGGACAGTCACCTCAGTAGATACCAGGTAAGGTGCAAAGACTGTGAAACAGAAAAGCCAACGGGCCTGATGGTTGTGACTCTGGGTGATATGGAGGTTGATGTCCTCCTGAAGACCGCAGGAACCCGCATTAGGACCTGGAACCTGAGCTTCTAGGCAGGCTTTCACTTTTCCAGCATGCGTTTAAGCATCCTGTGGTTTTTAACTTCCGAAAGTATATCCAGTTTGCTTGGTTTTGAGGCCTGTTTCCAGGCAGCCACTCCAGTCCTGACGTTTTTATTTTTGCTTCTTCCCTAGAACCCCCGAGAAGCTGACCCCATGACTAAAGTGCAGGCTGAACTGGATGAGACCAAGATTATCCTGGTAAGTAAGTAAATTAGGAGACCAAGTTCAGAAACTGAGAGGCAAAAAGATTTGCCAGCAGTCAAGCCCACGCAACTGACGCTTGTTTTAATTATAGTCAAAGCGCTTCTGAAAGTGGTGGTGGCCCTCCTGGCCCTGTGCATCAGAGGCCTTGAAAGCAGACTCACTCAGACAGACACTCTGTGGTTCTACCTCCATGGTGCCTGCCTTAGCCTGACCCACAGCCCAGCAGGTTCCTTCTTTTCAGAGTGTGGGTTTCGGTGCAGACTGAGGCTCTCTGACTAAATACAGGTCCCGAGTTGTCAGAAACAGGCCTGATTTCAGAAGAGCGGGAACCCTGCATTTTACCTGAAATCTAGTTTGCGATTTTTGTTTTCTGCCTTTGTTTTTAAACTCTGGGCTACCTTGGCTTTGGAATGAAAGTTAAGAGATGACCGTCTTCAGGCACCTCTCTGTCTTCTGTAACGTTTCTCCATGTTTGCTAACCAAGCCCTGTCTCTGCCTTCGGCTGCTTCAGAGCCTCAGTCTGTGAGCAAGCACACAGAGGCAGGGGACACACACGCACTGTCTTTCCTTGTCTCTCCACAGAGCAGATGGGTCCAGGTCACCCAACCCATTCTGGCTGCAGTGGTAAAATCTGGATTACTGGTCACGCTTCCTTTTATCCATTCCATTCATGTCTTGATCCAGTTAACTTTTTATGGTGGAAATCTGAGTTGCTTAGCCATGTGTAGAGATAAAGAATGTTTTTACTCATTTCTCATTCTGTGTCATTTCATATGTCCAAACCTAGGGTCATGCCAATTGCCTCTGAGGGCCTTGCAGTTGAAGCAGTGGCCATCTGGGGTGGGAACAAGTCAGCCACTTCCTGATGGCCCTGGTGGTGGGGCTAGGGACTCTTGTGAGAACCTCCCTCCCTCATGTGTTTGGAAAGGGTCTGTCTGCACTAAGTACAGAGGGGCTCTCACAGAGCTGATAGTCGTGAGATTCAGAGATTCAGACACAGTTACCCTGGGGGAAGCATGATATGGCTGTGCAGTAGGAATATGTGTGTGTAAATACGGACGCAGGGGACCTCTCCTGGAGTGTGGCTATCTAAGCCTCTGCTTTGGAGGATTTGGGGGCAGTGCTTTATGTCCAGTTAGAACCTTCTACATCCTCCAGGAAGGTCACTAGGTCCTGTGTCCTCCACAGGTCTGGGTCACTGTGTTGATTCTCATGTTGGGGAGGAGCCCAAAGGAAGCACTTTGCTGTGACTGAGCTTCATGAGGGACTTGCGTCTGCTCACCTTGTGAACAGAGCAAGGCATTCTTTTGTGTCTTTCCCCTTGTCCAGCACAACACCATGGAGTCTTTATTAGAACGAGGTGAGAAACTCGATGACCTGGTATCCAAATCCGAAGTGCTGGGAATACAGTCTAAAGCCTTCTATAAAACGGTGAGTGTGGTCTGGCCACTCCTGGGCACACCTTCACTCGGCTCTCCCTGCCTCTGGGCTGCTTCCCCCTCCTCCCAACCTCCCCAAGGTGAGGATGGGTCCTCCTCACCCCTGCTGTCTGAGGTATGCCACCTTCCCAAAGAGGTTCCGACACTTCTAATTTGCTAACTTTGACTGAACTATTTCACCGTTTGGACAGTAGGGGTGCTGCATTTACTTGGTCAACCCATACATGTTTGCTGTCATGGTGTGCCTTGGAGGGAGATGCCTGTGGGGTTAGGAGGTATCTGAACAGGAGGTGAAGGAGAAGGTAACAGAGGCCCCATGAACCAAGTGGGTACCTCTCTTCTCTCTGAAGATATCCTTAGTAAGAAACATCCCCATGAGGTCAGATAACTTTATGGGGAATCAAGGCTCAAGCGAAGGAAGAGACATTCTTGTTCTTTATACTCGGCTAAACAGTAGGAAGTTTCCTTCCTTATCGATAGCATTAATGGAAGGTGGACAGAATAATCCTGGGAGTGTGAACTACTTCTGGATGGCTTCCCTCCACTTCTCTCTCCTTGGCGGTTCCAGAGCTCCTAGTAAAGCCACCTGGTCCCCTCAGAACTCCCAGCTCTATGTGTGCTGAGGTCCACCTCTTCAGCTCTGTTTTGTCTCTCTCAAGGCCCGGAAACAAAACTCGTGCTGTGCAATCATGTGACGGCTGCCAGCAGAGGCCCCTGCGCTGGAACGTCACCGTCATTCACACCGGAACCGCGGCCCCCCAGGAAGCAGAGCCACCTCGCGACAACCCAAGTGGGACAGATTCAGCTTCGGCTTTGGAGCTCCTGGGAGGAACCGAAGGGTGGATGGGGACCTGGGGGTGGGGAACGTTCAAATTCACATGTCTAGTTATTTTTGAAAAGATACTGAGGCCCCTAAATGTGTATTTGGGGGCCAAATGGAACCATAAAGCTCAGTGACTCCGTAGATACTGCAGGGCTCGTTTCTAATCCCCTGGGAAGGATGTGGGCCCCTGATTTGTGCAAGGCCCATGGGGGGTTCAGAGCCATCTCTTTGTGGATCTTCACATGTTTGGGTTTTGTCTGTATACTAACTATTAACACTACAGGGAGCAGGGTGCCCTAACTCCAGGACTGGGGAGGGACAGCCACTGTAGGGCTGCAGTGGGCATGGGGGCGGGGTGGGGGGCTTGGGCCAGTGCTTCCATGTTGGGAGGAGACAGCTACTGGACTTCACAAATTCTGAGACCTGGTTTGCATGCCTGCTGAGGTTGACTTTGACTTTCTGTGATACCCATCCAGCAAGCAAGTTTCGTCAAGAGCCCTATAAAGTTGGGGAGGAGGCGCTTCCCCTGACTTGCCATTTGACTTTGAGCATCTGAATCAGAGCACGTGTGCTGCGGTCTCGTGAATGGTTGTCACTTGCCTCTCTGGTGACAAGAAAGACTGTTCTGACAATCACCTGGGACTTACGTCTTAGCAAGTGACCTTCACTGTGGCCGCCATTACTAGGCACCAAGAGAAGATGCCGGCCAGCCTGGGGGTTCCCAGCATCCACTTGTGGTCTGAGCTGTCCACACTCCAGCCCAACCCCCAGCAGACGCACTGCTGAGCACCACTACCCCGCCCCTGCCCCCAGCAGCATGAGGCCTATGGCTCTGAGGCCCAGCCCTAAAAACAGGTGCAGGGGGCAACCCAGGCAGTAGCCCTGGAGGTTCCAGGCTCTTCTCAGCTTTGCTGGTCCCTCGGGCCACACTGCCATGTTGTAAACCGCCTCCTAGTGCCCTGCTGCGTTTCCTGAGGACACAAGCTCAAGACACACCCTTGAGACTCCGTCTCCGTGGATGCCCGTCTTGGAGTGGCATCAACCAGTGTGGTCTCATCCTCAGCTGTGCCTCCCTGAGCCCTCTGTTCTTGCCCTGTCAAGGAGGTCCACTACCCCGACAGGAAGTGCCTGTGGCCCTGAATGCCCTGGCATGGGCCAGAAGTGGGATCTGCGTGGCCTCCGAGGACCCACCCTAAGACATTTACCTGCCAGCTGCTTGTTGTCTCTGGGCACTGTGCCGCCAGAGAACTTGGCCTAAAAGTAGCTTACCCAACGTGAGTTCTGCCATGTTTACCCTTGAAAGGTGCAGACCTGGCCTGCTCACTGGTCTCTGAGGTGGCCGTGACCACCTTAGGGATGATTGAGAGTTGTCTGACTCCTCCCACTTCGGAGGGTACTGGGGTTGGGGGGGTGGGGGGTGGTCAAAATGGGGAAGAGGGTGGCAAGGGTGGGTAGGGCTGGCTGAGACCTCTGCATCCACCCTTTCCCCAGCTCTTGTCTTCTAATGTTAAATCATTTGGCAAAGTGTATTTTAATAACTGCTGCCTAACTTTTCTTTGTGTTCTGTTTGGAAGGTTCCTGTCTGGATAAATTTGTCTTTTGAAATTCCAAAATAGTCCTGTGCTTTGTTTTGGGCTTCCCAGGTGGCACTAGTGGTAAAGAATCTACTTGCCAATCCAGGAGACATGGGTTTGATCCCTGAGTCAGGAAAATCCCCTTGGAGTAGGAAATGGCAACCCACTCCAGTATTGTTGCCTGGGGAATCCCATGGACAGGAACCTGGTGGGTTACAGTCCATAATCACAAAAGAGTCGGACACGACTGAAGCTCTAAGCGCACATTGTGCTTTGAGCCACAAGGACCCCTTCCCACGGGAGTGCTGCCCCTCGTGCTGTGCCCCTGCCGAGTTCAGGGTTCGCCACATACTGGGGGGAGGCAGCCTCTACTTTAATGCCCCTATTCCCCTCTCCCCACCCCCTAGACCTTTCTAGCAGGAAGTGGGGAGGGAGCCCCAGAGTAGAGAGAAGTCCTGCTCTGAATCCTGTTACCTGGTCCTCGCTGCACCCTAGAAACCACCTGGGAGGCTTCCTCACAGCCACAGAGGCAGGACCACACACCCAGAAACTGCAGACTGGGGTATCTGCTGCAGTGTGGAGCGTCCTGTGCCCCCTGGATCCTTGCAGGCTGGCAGCTCAGGTCCTAGTTTAGGGAATGTCCTTGGCGGTTGGTTGGTAGACTGTGAGTGCTTCTCACCTATTTCATTGCTGGCCGGGGACCGACCTGGAGACCCCTGGAATAGGGAGTAGCCTGGGCATTTCCAGCTTTTCCTGTTCAGAGGACCCACCGGGGCATGCGCCCAGGGAGCTTTGCCCAAAGCAGGTGCTCTTTAAAATGACAAATGAAAGGCCCCTCACTGACTTCCCTCTGCCTATCCTGCCATGCCTGTTGGGAGTGGGCCAGGGGATGGTTTCAGAGTGCTGGTCCACCTCAGGATTCCTGCAGGATCCCCAGCGGGGGTGGGGTGGGGCCATGGCAGGTACCCAGAGGGAGGCCTGGCCTGGAAAGCCTCCTCGGATTACAGCTGATAGGTGAGCGGAGCCCTAGATACTGCGGTGGTGGTGATGACTCCTCCGCTCACTGGCTCTGTCCTAGATTCTCTGTGCCAAGCTCTCCGATCTGCCCTGGTGCTCCCCGGGCAGCCCTCATGTTGGCCTGCACACCTGAGAACCCTGCCAGTTACCACCCACAGGGCCAGCAAGGTAGCCTCCTGGCCCATCTGAAGGTGTCTGCAACCAGGTGCCAAGGCTGGACCAGGAGGCCTGCTGTGCCCTCGTGGACAGGACTGAGCGAGCCTGAGGCGGCGCCGCCTCATCAGAAGTCGCTTGGACCTGTTGGGTGGGTGTGTTTGGTGTATCAGATTGTTTGGAAGCCCGTACTTCTGTCCTGAGAAAGCTTAAGGTGTGAGGTACAGACAGGCAGCGGCACCTGGGGACCAGGCGTAGAGGGGAGGCTGCCCATCACCACACGAGGGTGTCTCTGGGGTGTCAGCAGGACTGCCGGGCACTGTGCAGGAGGGAGGAGCGCACGAGGCCTTCGAGGGGCCAGCGGAGCACAGGCAGGTCCCAACAGCCCTTGCCTGGCACGGCCTAAACACGTGCAGCCGTGAGGGAAGGATGTTCAGAGAAGCAGGCGGCCTGGCATCCGTGTGTCCATGCAGCTATATGGCCCTGTGGCCACGTGGTCAGAAAGCCGAGAAGTCAGGCAGCCATGTGGCTGTGGTCTGGCGATCAGGCAGGTTGGATGGCCATGTGGTCAGGCAGGCACGCGGCCAGCGCTCACTCAGCCGGTGCAGGCCGAGTGTTTCCAAGGAAGGCCCAGAGGCTTTGTTTCCCTGTGGTGTGGGGGTGCAGTGGGTGACTGGGTGCCGCATCCCTCCCTCCATGTGGGGGGTGAGCTGCAGAGGGAAGGCTGGTGGGGAGCGCCTGGCTCTGCCCACCTGGGCCCCCAATCCCCTCAGTCTGGGGCCACCTGGGAGCCTCTGCCTGGCATCCCTCCGTCTCCCAGGTCTCAGCTCTGGGCTTCTGCTGTTCAAGTCTCCTCACGGAGCCTCTCCAGGTCATGGTTGTCATCACCTGCTGTGTCATCTTTGCATCCCAGCAGCCACCACTCCTGCTCCTGGCATTGGTGCCTCACATCTGTGCCGACCTGTGTGCTGTCTACACAGCCCAGCGTGTAGGCCCACAGAAGCACCCCTGGTAGCTGCAGGCACCACCTGTTTCAAGCAACACACACAGAGACCAGATAGGTGGATCTCTCCTATCCCTCCTATTTATAGGTGGATCTCCATCCTGTCCGTGGAGAACAGACAGGGCAGCAGGGCTGGGGCCTGGAGCTCTTCCCATATAGATCTGCCCTCCTGATCTCATCTTCAGAGACCACTAGAGTGACCAGAGGTTGGGGGGTCCTAGGACTCAAGGTGTCATTTTTGGTTCCTGTCTGGAGCTAACAGAGGCCTTGGGGGAAGCAGGGAGGAGGGTGGGAGCAGCTGGCAGAGTTTGACCTGTGGCCTCACGGACGGGTCCCATCTGGGCATGCCAACTACCCGAGATGGGCTTGGGAACATCTGGCCTAGGGCTTCTGCAGCCTGGCCAGCCCAGGGCCCACACAGCAGGGGAGGGACCTGCCTAGAGGTGAGGGGTCAGCTAGATCCTGGCAGAGAGCACCCAGATACACTTGAAGCAGTTTGTCCTGTTTTCCATTTATTTGCAGTTTCCCGAGACAGAACAAAATAATAATTTTGTACACTTACAAGGCTCAGAAAGAAAAGACAATGAAACTCAGCAAAAAGAGAGAAGAGGAAAGGCCGGCCAGCACCGTGGGCAGCCGACCCTCTGCAGGGCAGGCCGGCCGATGCCGCCACACCACGGACATCTAGCTAGAAGAGCGGGTGTGGCTTGCTCATGAGGGGTCATGCAAAAGAACTCTCCCCCAGAAAAAAAAAAAAAAATCCCCAAATTATCCCAGACAGGCAGCTCCCTGGAGAGAACGGGTAAGCGGGGACAGGAGGGGAGGAGGCCTCAGGAGGTGAGGGCGGCTGGGCCGCACACTGTCCACGGTGAGCCCTGCCGCTGCCCGAGGCCCAGGGAGCCCTGCAGATGTTTACCCTGTGTCCATGGGTGGGGACAGCTGTCCTGAGCACAGCTGCAGACAGGCAGGTAGGCGTCCACTCTGAGTGTCTGTCCATGGACAGTCCCCCTTGGAGACCAGCATCCTGTGTCCTGTTCCCCACTCTGGGCCCCTCCCTTGGCTTGTATGGGGAGAAGATAAAGAAAATCCTTGTTGAAAACAACGTGAGTTGAAGGGGCAGATATTGGGGTGGGGGGGTGCGTCCTGCACCTCTGGGATCACGGCCCCTGACCACCCCCCGAGTATAGCCCAGGAGGCCAGATCATACCCACCCCCATGCCTGGCCAAATGCTTTTGGCTCTCTCTGCCACCACCTGACCACGCGGCCTGTCCCAGAGGCTCACTATAGTGCCCACCGGCAAACAGGGGACCCGCCTCCCCACCCCTGGGTCCCTGTCGCTCGCAGCCCAGTGCAGCCCTCTGCTCCCTGCTGCTCTGGCACAAACTCTTAAAAGTGCAGCTTCTTCAGCAAACACTTGCCTGGCCCCTGCCTCTACCTGGAAGCCAGAAACATCCGCCCACCTCTGACCCTTCTCTCCTTTCTGCCCCACACCCACATGGGGACTGGGGAGAAGGTGAGCAAAGACGGAGAGGTACCCGAGCAGAAGAGAGGCCAGCCCAGGGGGTCCCTTCCTCAGCAGGCTGCTGCCAGCACTGTCCTCTCCCATGTCTCCTGCCAGGTGTGAGATCTGAAACTAAGGTGTGCCTCCCTGCAACCCCTCCCCCAGCGCACCTCCCTGGCCCCGCCCAGGCCAGAGCTGGATCCCTGGGCCTCCTTGGATGGCTCAGCATCCTCCCAGAGAGGCTGGCCCAGCCACTGCACTAATCACCCATGCCGGGAACACCGGGAGCCCACATCCACACCTTCTCAGGGAAGAGAGGAGGAAAGGGAAGTGGGAGGGAAGACAGCCGTGCTCAGGCCCCCTTGCCACCCCCCCAGTCCTCCCCTGACAACACCTGACTCTCCTGACCAGGAGCTATGCACGGCAGGGAGGATGCAGACTTCTTGGGGGGTGGGCACCACCTAGCAAACTGTTCCTCGGGCGGCAGGCCCTGGTGGACAAGTTCATTCCCCCGGCCAGTCCCTGGAGGAGGCCAGGAGCGGACAGACACGTGGAGCTTGGGTGGGGTGCGGCCGGAAGGTTCGAAGCCCCACAAATGCCAGTGATTTTTACAGCTTTTTCCCTTGTTTAGTTTTTCTTTTTTTTTTTCCGTTTCATCGACATCAATTTTGTGTGTGTGGTTGTCGTTGTCATCTTGTTTTTAAAAAGAAATCACATCTGGTCTTGGTTTTCTGCAGACACAGGCACCAGGGGAGGAACGAGGCAGACACAAACATGCGACAGGCAGGCCGTGCGCCCGAGGGCAGCTGGGCTCCAAACACCGAGTCTGTCCCGTGGTGAAACCAGCCACAGCGGCTCTGAAACGGAGCAGGCGCCAGGGCGGGCAGGTCAGCTCCAGGGGCAGCTCTCCATCTGACCCGGGTTTGGTGGCTGCAAGGTGGGCACCTGCAGGGCTGCCCGGAAAGGGGCCTGGAGACCCTGACCCAGCGCCCCCACTCCCCTAACACCAGGCTTGCCTTATGTCCAGGAACCTGCTGGGCCACCCCTTCCGGCCACCCCTGCCGGCCGCCACCCCCAGGCTGCAGCCCCCTCACCCTGGGCTGTGCTCCCCTCCCACAGGGTCTCACCTTCACTGCAGCGGGGCCACGGGCGCCCCCGAGCAGTGGAAGTGCACGTTCTGCCACTTGCCGTCTCGGCGATGCCACACGCGGGTCTCCTCGGACTGGCTGGTGCGGGGCCGGCCCTGCCCGTCGATATACTGTGTGAGGCGGATGTAGGCAATGCAGGCGGCGTCCTCGCCGATGACGTGCACATGCGGATTCAGGATGGTTGTGTGGATCGGCTTGCTGTTCTTGGCGAGCACTGCGAGCGGGCAGGGGCTTAGAGTTGTGCCTCCCCCCGCCCAGCCCCTCTACCAGCCCAGCCCCCTCCCCCAAGAGCACCATCTGGTTCCCCCTCCCTGTCCCCATGTGTCCCCGCCCCTCATCCCTGTGGCTTGGAGGTTTCTGCCACAGAGGGTGGCACAGTGGCTGGCTGACCCTGAACACAGGGGACAGGGCTTCCCTGGGCCCCTGACTGGGGGTCTGCAGGCTCTCCAGGGGCACCCGCCCTCTTCCCCGCCCCCCTGCCCTGCACTCACAGTTCTCGAAGTAGAATCTGTGGAAGTCCATCCCTTCAACCAGGTTGCCCAGGGCTTCAGGCTCAAACGAGGTCAGGCCTGGGTCGCAGATTTTCCTGGGGGGCAGACCCAGGTGAGGAGGGGCCCCTCAGAACCGGGTGCTTCCATCCAGCCCCCTCCCTGTGAGGAAGCCCTCCAGGTCTACCCGCCCCACTCCAGGACAGGCCGGGCGCCCCGACTCACGCGTAGGCCTCGAAGTCGCCATTGTTGACGGCCTCAATGAGCTGCTCTGTGATCTTGATGATCTCCTGCTTCCGCGCTGTGGGGAGACAGCTGCCCAGTGACCCACCCACCACCTGTGCCCGCCCGGGAGGGTCCGGGCAAAGTGCCCTGCCCCCATCCCCATCCCAAGGCTGCCCAGCTCAGACTGCTCCCTTCAAGGCCACCCACGGCTTCCCTGTTTCCAAGTCCAACAAGCTTCCATCTTGTTTGTCTTAAATACAATTTCCCTACCGGTCTGGAAAACGCAGGACGGGGAAGCAAAGCCTGCCACGACCACCCTGCATCCCCAGTTCCCCCGGCCACATGCCCTGGGCCCTCAGCAGGGGATGACCCTGTGACACCGTGACCAGCCTTCCTGGCTCCTGCTCCCCAGGCATTGCTCTCTAGTCCTCCATGTACCCAACAGCTCCTGGGGGGGCAGGTGTCTACTAGGGGCCGGCTCACAAAGCAGGGAGGGGACTGGAGGCTGCAGGGCCAGACCTCTGTGCGAAGGCCAGGAAGCAGAGCCCAGTGGAAAGCTGAGCGTGGGCCTCACCGCCTTCTCTCCATGGAAGCCCACAGACTGCCAGCTGGCCTCCCACCCCCTCCTGCCTCCACCTGACCTCCCACTTGACCTCTGGTCCTAGACCAACCCAGTCCCTGGGGTGCTCACCTGGGGGCCCCCCTTATCTCTTTAACTACCATTTATTTTCAGGCTACATTATTTTAAACACGTGGAAGAAGCACAAAGAATAATATAACCCACACCCTGCTGGTTCACTTCTGAACAATTTTCATATTTGCTTTAAGATTTCTTCCAAAGAGAGAAAAGCTGCCACATAAAGATGCAGCTGCCTGTGTTTCCCTGAATCTGGTTCTTCACTCACTCTCCCCAAAGAAGTACCATCCTGAGTTAGATGCTAAACCACTCCTGTGCAGATACATCGACACCCAAGGCACACAGGAAACACACACACGCGCGTGTGCACATAGCCACGGACACACCCAGACATGGTGATTCCATAACACAGTAACACGCCAGCAGTAAAACCCAGACCCAGGAAGAGCACCAAAGGCAGCACCCCAGTTCTCTCCACAGCCCCCTCCCCACTCACGGCCATGCCAGCCACGCCTCTGTGCACCCTCACATGGGTGCTTGTGTCCCCTCCTCTCCCCGCAGTACGTGGGGACCACAGGCGCTCTGCAGGGCCACTCCTGTGGATGCGCATCCCCGCTCAACCAAGCCTAGTGACGGGCATCTATCACTCTCCAGTGTCCAGCTGCCAGTGCAGCTGGGTTCAGCACACATGTGAGTTGATCCATAGCCTACATTCCTAGAGCGCGGGGTGCCAGCTCCCAAAGGGTGCATGTGCCCAAGGCCCTCCCATCAGCACCTTCAGCTGTCTGGGTGTTCCCTTCTTCCAGGCGCCCAGATGGGAAGTGGACAGAGCCCACAGCAGGAGATGCTGCGTGTGAGCGGGGGCGTGCCCGTGTGTGAGCTGGGAGCCTGGGTCGTGCGGCACCGGCTCTGGACAGTGGCTGCTGGGCGAGCTCTGTGACACCCGAGAGGTTCAGGGCATGCACGCGCATGTGTGTATATGTGCCCCTTCGTGCACGTGGGTGCATACTTGTGTATGTGTCTGCACTGCATGTGCACACACCAACCTGCCAGCACACATGCACTTCCCCTGTCTAGAAGAGACCGTCTCTCTGCACTGGCTGAGCTTCTGCTGGCTTCCTGTTTTTGTTTCTTACAGAAACAAAATGTCTGGATGTCATGGATGCTACATTCATGTCTGGATGTAACAGGGTTTGGGCTTCAGGCTGTCTCTGCAGAACTCAGGCCTCTGCTGGAAGCTGGCCTTCAGGAAGTGGGCCCAGCTGCCCTGATGCCTCCATCCACGCACAGAGCTCTGTCCCAACACAGACACATGCAGGTGGTCCCTGTCCTCACCTGCTGGATATTTCACACCTCCTTCGGCACACCCACTTCCTCCTATGCCCAACCCATAACACTGCTTCTCCCCTCTCAGGGATTCCTCCACAGCCTGCCCACCTCTCGGCCCTCTGCCTGGGCGTTTCCCAATTCTGGGTGGCCCTCTCTCCTCTGGGACCTCATCCACCCCCACTTCACCTGTCATCTTCCTGGAGTGGCCTCAAGCCTCAGTCTCTGATCTCCCACTGCAGCCCAGCTCCCCCACCAGATGCCACCCCGAGGGTCAGGGCCCCTGGGCTTGTCTGACGGCAGCACCCAGCGCCTGCCCCTCCTGTTCCTGCCCTGGGCGGCCGGTCACCCTGGACCCCGCTGCCTCCTTCCTGAAGCACCACGTCCAGCCCCTGCCCAAGAGTGCCCACCTCCCACTGTGAGCTACTCTGTCAGCTCCAGGACATCCTGCTAATCTCGCTGAGGGGATGTCTACACATCCCGACATCCCAGGCACTCGTCAATCCCCCTCTTGACAGACAGTGTGAGCTGTCTCCCCTCCCAATGTGAGCTCTCAACTGACAACTTTGCAGCTGGAATTAAGAGACCTTTTTTTCTGTTTTGTTTCCCCAAGCACTCTGATTTTACAGCTATCCTACTGCACCATGGTAAGTGGGCCGAATTTTCCACTTGATGAGGTAATGTTGAGTATTTTTAAATAAACTTTCATTAAAAATGGAGTTGGTGTAAAAAGAAAGTATTAAGTAAATAGAACTCTAAGGTCACAAAACACATTGCGAAGTCTGAAGTTTGGGAAACAGCCCCCACATCCATTCTGCAGATGGGAAAGCTGAGGTTGCACAAGCCCACCCACAGCCCAGGAACGAGCCAGACGTTCCTGACCCATGGAAGGACTCTGGCCTCTGCTTCCTTGCCATACAGAACAATCCTGCCTCCCCCGGTGACACACCACGCAAAGGGACGCCTGGCGGGGGTGGTGGGAGGGCTGGTTATCAAGGACAAGCTGCCCCCACCAGGCAACTCCAGAAAGGGTCTGGCTTGGGAGAAGTCCCCAAGTTGAACCGTAGCCCTGCATCCACTCTGGCTCTCTTGGGGAGAGCTAACAGGCCAGGGCGGCCCAGACACTAGTGACCCCAGGTGGACCCCAAGCAGCTGCAGGGGCACCAGGACGTCCCAGCCACACCAGAGAGGCAGCTGCACAGGATCAGCCTGGATCGTGCATAATCCCCGATTATGGAGAACTCAGGGCGGGCTGATGGGCACCAACCCGTTTACCACTGAGACAGCTGGCGGGGTGGCTCCCGGGAAAGCAGGCTGCCCGTGACCCAGCCCAAGGATGGCCGTCTGCAGCCGGACCTCTGCGCCAATGGGGGCAGTCCCCAGTCCCAGAACTGGGAAGGGGGGCCACTCCAATCGGCCCACGGAGTGCCAGAACTCACCCCGAAGTGGCCACTCAGAAGTCCCTTCTCCAGGCTGGCCCCACCTGCATCCCTTCACCCAGGACCCCCACACACAAGGAAGCTGGCTGCTGGGAACCCCAGGTGGGAGGGCAGGAGGTAAGAGGAATCCTCGTTCTAAGGGACACTGATGGGGCCACCCCTCCCCTGGGTGCCCCCCTCCCCCAGCACTCTGCCCTCCCCTGCACCCTGTAGGCCCGGCCACACGAGCCAGGCGTCCAGGCCCCAAGGTCCCCTCCACTCAGTCCTGTCACAGACAGCCCCTTCTGCGGCCCCACCTCCCGAGTCAGGCTCAGGACAGACCCCTAAAGGGGCAAGACTGTGCTGTGCCTCCCCCTCTCCCACTCCGTCAGCCTGTCCTCGGAGCTCCCCGCCTGGGCCGGGCATGCCCCAAAGGTCAGTCATGGCCTTGGGCCAGGGTCACATTGCAGAGGACCCCTTGGACACAACCCTCCACATCTGCTACCCTCAGCTTCGTTATCTGTGAAACTAGGGTCCAGGAGGATCCTGGATTTGGGGACACGGAGGCCTCTAAACTTGAACAAGACCCCGTACAATGGGGGACGGGCACAGGCTCCGCTGTGTGCCCACCAGCGAGACTCTGCTCTCTCACCTCTGAGACGCATCTCCACTTCCTCTAGCAGAGCCTGAGTTCAGGCCACAGCCCCCCACCCCCAGCCTACCCCTCTGCTCCCAGGGCTTCCCTCCCACCCACCCACCGCTACCCTGGCCCCCAGGCATGGCTGGCAGGGGTCGGCACCCCCACAGCCCGGCACTCACCCAGCCTCTCCCCCGCCATGCCCGGCCCCCCGGCCCCGAAGCAGCTTCGCCTCTGAGAGCTCGGTGTCTCCCCGGAGGAGGGGGTGGCTGCTGCCCTGGGATGTCATCCATCCCTGTAAGCGATACTGGTGAGCAGTGGGCAGACTGCAGACGGCAGCGGTGGCTCCTCCCTGCCCGGGGAGGTGGCCCAGCCCAGCGCCCGCCCCCAGCCCGCCCCCCGGCCCTGGACTCACCAGCCAGGGCCGACCCCAGACGGCGCGCACCCCCATCCTCACCACCACTATCCAAGAAACCTGCAGTTCACAGCCCCTGGGAGGGAGGTGCTAGTCCTGGGAAACCTGCCTCCTGCTTCTCTCCCCATAGGTGTGCATCTTTAGCCGAATGGCAGTTTTGTGTGGAATTCCCTGGGTCCCCCACCCAGGAGCCGACCCCTTCCCAGAGCCAGGGGATGGCGCACCGCAGCTGAAGGTCTCCACACCCGAGAGCCCCCAGGAGCAGCCAGCGGGGCCGCTCAAGGTGCTACTTACACGGGGTGAGTGGGGGGCCTGGGAGAGCCGGAGACGGGCAGGGTGGGGGGCCCTGGGCTTCTGGGGTCCCCGAACCCCTCCTCACCGTGTTCAGGATGTCAGAGATCCTGGGGGCTGGGGTGGAACAGACGAGACGTGAACACGAGGCAGGCGGGGGACACGCAGGAGAGAAAACCTATGGGCTGATGAGCCAAGCCAGAGAGAGTGGGGGGGACGGAGGGGTCATGAGGGGACATGGGGGACAGAGAGGGATGGAGAAGGGATGTGGGGGGTGCAGGGGGACGTGAGGGACAGGGGTGACAGAGAGGGGCGTGGGGGACGAGGGGGAAGCTTCAGGGATGTTCAGGCGGCTGCACCTGTCTGACCAGGTGGGGGTGGGGAAAGCTGCTGTGGGCAGAGGGTGCCTTCCATGGAAGGGCAGCCTGGCCCGGGAGAGGAGAGAGTAGTCCCGCGCGGGACAGGCCTGGGGTGGGCGTCCCCAGGTGAGGACGGGATGGGTGAGTGGAGGAGTGTGCAGAATGCCTGGCCCCTCTGGAAAACCAGTTCTGGGCCCTTTCTTCTCCCTTGAAACCCACAGGCCTGTGGTCGAGAGGATTTCTGTAACAGCTCCTCGTGCCTGGATGCCCGGCGTGGGGCCCATATGAAGTCAGCGTGACTGACAAGGCCACGGCCCATGGCCCAAGGGGCAGGATACATGGCTGCTCCAGGTCTGGGAGACCCTCGGGGGGTGAGGTCTGGGGCTGGACAGCAGTGCAGGGAGCTGTGTGGGAGGTGGGGGCGGGGGAGCCAGGGAGAGCTGCCTTGCGGAGTTAGCGCGTGCGCCCCGATGCCCAGCCAACCTCGGCAGCCTGGCCCAGGGGCAGCTGAGGCCGTGCATGGCAGGATGCGGGAGCCACTTGGCAGCAGAGGCAGCAGGCCTGCGGCACTACTTACATGGGGTGGGCAGGGGGCCCTCGGCTTCTGGGGTCCCCGAGCCCCTCCTCACGGAGCTCAGGATGTCAGAGATCCTGGGGGCTGGCGTGGACAGGAGCAGACACGTGAGGAGGAGGCGGGCCAGGCTGGTGGAGAGGAAGCAGGCCTCCCACTCTCTCCCGCCCCAGGGCCTGTCTCAGCACCAAGGAGCCCCGGCCCTGAGACCCCCAGGCCAGTGAAGAAGGTCCGCATGGAGGCGGGCTTGAGGGGCAGAGGTGCTGGGGAGCTGCTTTGGGGGGCTGTGAGGGGCAGGCTGGTGCCCGAGCTCGACTGGCCCTTGGCCCTCGAGCGTCCCCTCAGAGAAGCTGGAGGCCCCTCCAGGAGACCCCCACAGCAGCAGGGCCCGGCTACTTACATGGGGCGGGCAGGGGGCTAATGGGAGCCGGAGACGGGCAGGGCGGGGAGCCCTCGGCTTCTGGGGTCCCCGAGCCCCTCCTCACTGAGCTCAGGATGTCAGGGACCCTGGGGGCTGGGCAGACAGACGAGACGTGAACACAGACAGGTGAGCACACGCAGGAGAGACGAGGGGGTGCAGGAGGATGAGAGGAGGCTAAGCTAGAGAGTCACACGGTGGGGTCCAGGGCTCCTGGGGCTCCATCACCCCCATGTACCCAGGGCTGTGAGATCACAGCAGGTATGTGAGGAAGACATGGGGCCACCTGCAGGGCTGGAGGGTCGTGTACAGTGCCCGCCGGGAACAGCAGAGGGCAGGCCTGAGCCCACTGGGGCTTCTCTGCACATGACGGATGGCATAGCTGAGGCTGAGACGCCCCAGCCCCTGCCCCATGAGGCCCCTCAGGCATTTGCTGACCATCTCCCAGCCAGACAAGGGGTTGGCATGAGGCTGGCTGGCCCTCTCCCCCGGGCTCTTGCAGTCTCGGGCCGTCTCAGGCCCCCGCCTGGTTGGGGCGAGGGCAGACATCCGAGAACAGGGCCTGGGAGAGATCTGCGTGACCTCCAAGCTCCATGCCGATGGCTCAGGGCCCGCAGTCTGGGGAAATCACACGAATGTCCACTCGCCCTACATCCAGAGACCAAAGCCTTGCGCTCGTTCGCTTCCACTCTAGGGCAGGGGGCATACTCAGGACAGGATCACTGCATCTCCCAAACTGGCAGAGCGGCCACCGCCGGCTCAGCGCTCATCTACGCAGAGTGAGGCCGAGAGGTGGGCTCCCCAGGCGGGGGCTGGTCACCTGGCCTAGATGGAATGGAGACCAGATCCCCTCCCTGGGGCAGCTGAGAAAGCTGAGGGTGGAAGAGGGGTGCCAGGGTGAGCACACAGCGCCAGGGACCCTGGGGCATTGGTGGGACACAGACAGAGCCAGAGCCAGCTCAGCCTGGGATCCCTGAGTGAGGAACGGGGCACACGTCTCTGCAACCTGCCCCCCAGCAATGAGCCCAGGAAATGCCCCTTGCTGCCCATCTGCATATCAACTGCCAGCTGGGTAGGCACAGGTTTAAGGACCTTTGAGAGAAGAAACAGCAAATTCAACCATGGAAACTGGGTGCACAGCTCCCGGAGCAACTTGGGGGCCCATGCAGAGAACCATCCCATCCCGGCAGTGGCTCCCTCGCTGGTCAGGGCGCCCAGGTCCACCAGGCTCTGCTTGGATGCGCTGCCCAAGACCGCCCAGCGCCAGTCCATACTCAGGCTCAGGTGGGGCTGTAGCCCTGAACAAGTCAGCCCCTCGTCTCAAGACGTGGCCTTTGCTGTCCCAGCTCCCCACCCGCCAGTGGCCTGCCCACCAGCCCCACAGGTGGGGAGGTTGGATACCTTTTGTGTCTTCATCCTCTATGGTGGTATGGGTGCTGTCGGATGACTCCTGGGGAGACACAGGGAGGCAGCGGGTCAGGATGTGGCCTTTGCCCCCACGGGGCTCAGGCCCCACCCCCAGAAACCCACCGGCAGCAATGGAGCTTCATGCCAGGCCCAGGGGTCACCCATTTCTAGGCTGAGCCACCCATGTCCCCAATAGCTGAGGACCCCAACTCCCCTTCTGCCAATGAGACACACCCAGTGGAAAGATTAGCATGCTCAGAAGACACTCTTGAACAAGATAAAAACTGTTTTAGTGTGTGTGTTTTTTTTTTAATTCCAAGACTCCTGGGGAAGCAAGAAAGCATCCACAGCCTGCCCACTTTGGCAGGCAGGGCAGAGCTTCCAGTAGCTTTCCTCAGGAAACTTAACCTGGCCAGTCAGAGTGCGGCAGCACCATACCTCCTCCCCAGGCCTGGGCCATCCAGCCAGGCCTGGCTTTACCTCTCAGGTGGCCTGAAGGGCAGAGAGGTAGCCCCAGCATCTCCTCCCTCACCCCTGGCTTGCTGCCCTTCAGATATAAAACCAGATGCACGTCCACCTGTGACCGAGTTCCCAGAAAGCTTGGTTGCTTCTCAGAAAAAAATCTTAACAGGGTCCCCAAGGAACCTCCCCCCCACCAACCTCCTTACTAGACACTGCTCTGGGCCCTGGGCCAGAAATGGGGTATCTACAGGTTGTAAGATCAGGGCCCACATCACAGAATGTTGTCTCAAGGCCCCATGCAGGGAAAGCAGGGCCCTCAACCCCAGACACTGGGTCCCAGGATCACCTATCCCTGGCCTGAGTCACAGTGGATGCCCAGGCTCTTCCTAGCACCTTGAGGCTGGGTCAGCCCAAACACAGTGGCCCATAGCACCCCTGTCCTGGTCTGTGGCCGGGATGTGTGGGGACCCTTTGAGGATCTCAGGCCCAGGTGGGAGTCTGGGTGGGGGTAAGGTAGTGAGGTCCTAGAAATGCAGCTGGGCTGCCCACCCAGCTCTCCCACCACCCCAGAAAGCCAGCCCCTTCCCTGGCCGCAGAGTGAAGATGCTGATGGGATGGGAGCTGATGCCAGAGCAGAGAGGAGGAGCAGGGGAGGGGGCAGCTCAGCGGGAAGCACTGGGCGCGGCGGGCAGAGGTGAGCAACGGGTGAGGGCAGGAGGGTCTGTGCTGCCCCCCTCCTCCTGGCCCCACACTCGGGGGGCACACAGGGCAGCCCCCTTCGGCCCTTCTCCCCTGGAACACCCAGACCTTGGCTGCACGCTGCGAAGGACACCCAGGCTCTTTCTGGCACCCTGAGCCTCTGAAGCAGTCCCTGCCTTCGGCTGCTCCTGACCAGGCTGGCCCTGGCCACCCCCAGGGCAGGATGGAGAGGGTCTGAGAAGCAGACCCTGCTCAGGAGGCAGGGAGTCCAGGCTCCTGTGTCTGCCGGGGACTTGGTACAACCGTGCCTCCAAGGGCGGCACCTGGGGCTCTTCCCCAAAGGAGCAGCCCATGGACTTGGGGGCTCTGTCCTGCCTCCAGGGGGGCAGGTCACAGTACACCTGTCTCAGCACAAATGCTTCCCCAGGGTCAACATGCCAGACCTTCCCCAGGGCTGGGGGTCTGCCTCCCGGCTGAGCAGACGCCCCCGAGAGGGTGGCGAGGAACGCGCAGTACCTTGATCCCGTCCACTGGGTTATGAATGACGGTGGTTTGAGGCTCCTACAGAAGAAGGAAGCACAGAGGAAGGAAAGAGTGCAGTGAGAAGAGGAGGAGAGCAGAGGCCCCCCGGCATGAGCCTGGGAGAGGAGAGGAGAGGGTAGCAGCAGAGCAGGATGGAGGCAGATGGCCAGCAGGGAGCGGAGCAGCTGGAGGGGGACCTGGGGCAATGTGGATGGAACAAGCAGACCAGCCCGGGGCCTCCAGGGCACCAGCGGCCGGAGGCCGATGGAGAGAGTGGGGCTGAGGGCGGGGGGTGAGAAGCTGCACACTGGGGTCCCTTCTTCGGGCGCTCTGCCCTCTGCCTTTGCTGCTGGACCTCCTGCCGGCATGGGCAGGGCACAGGTTTGAAGATGTCATGGAGTGGGGGTGGCACGTGGGATGGACGGGTCCGAGACGGGGCTGGCTGCAAGGCCGGCGTGTGGGACCCTCCCCTCCTGGGCCAAGGCCACTCCCCACACCTGCATTCGCTGTGGATCTCCGTTTGGCAAATCTAGCCTCCCCATGGGCAGTCCAGGGCTCAGTCCCAGAAGCAGGGCCTGAGGCCCGTGGGGCCACCAAGTGTACTTTCAGCAACCTCGGGACCTGTGGACCAGCAAACCGCAACCTCCTGGGATTGCCTGCTCTACATGAGACACCTGGGCAGGAGGGCCATGCTACTGGCCACAGCCCTGCACAAGCGGCTCCGTCGCCTGGACAGGACACTCCAGATGAAAGCTGGAGCTGGTGGGTTCCTGTGATCTCATGTCTACCCACCCCTCCCCATCAGGGGAACCCCTGAACCCTCCCGGCAGCCACAGGCCCGCACAGCCACAGAAGCGTGTCTCCCTGTACCCACCTCGGCCGTGTAGGACACGGACTCTGATGGGGAACACCACGGCTGCCACTGCCCTAGACCCGACAGCCACTGCTAGGCTGTGACCAGGGAAAGCCAAGGGGCCCCTGTATCCCTCCAGATCACTGGGCGGGCTCTGAAGCTAAAGCCAGGCTCATCCATTCTCCCTAGGGAGAAACCAAAACCCGCCCCTCCCAGACACTGCATCCCTGCAGCACCCAGGAGAGGGGCTGGCAGTCTGTCCCCACCCGCAGCCTGAACCACTCCCCCTGCAGAGCCAGCCCCCGCTGAGTTCCTGGCCAGCCTCCTGAGGGCAGAGGAACCAATCCAGGTTGATGCCTGGATCCTGGGTCTCAGTCTCACTGGACCCCTGATGGGTCCCACTGCCGACCACAAGTCAGCAGGGGCCTGCCCGCTGCATCCAAGATGGGTTCCCTGGCACTGCATGAACTGGGGTCTTCCCTCACCCCCACATCCCAGGGCAGAGGGGCTAGAAAGGCTAGGTGTTATCTGTCAAGAGACAGGCTGGGAGCCAGACCCTGGCTTTACCCCAGGCCTCCTGACAGTAGCCACCACACAGCCGGGGTACAGGAGAGCATGGCCAGGAAGTGGGGGGCAGAGGGGTTCAGTACCAAGGCGGCTGGAGGAAGCGTCCCCTTGGGGCTGGTGGCAGCGGCACTGTTTTTGGTGCTATTCGTCTGGGGCTGCGGAGAGAAGAAGGGAGGCCATGAGGGAGAGAATGACGGCTCATACCCCTTCCTCAAGGCGGGGAAGGCCCAGAGGAGCTCTGGGGACTGAGCCACGCCACAGGCTGCGGCAGGGGGCCAACCACTGCCCCCTGGGCCGTGCCGGTGCCTTACCTTAACTCCGTCTGCTTTCTTGTTGAGTAAACTCTTGGCTGCTGCATTGGAGGAAACAGACATGGTGAGTGAGGGGCCTGGCTCCCACTGCAGCCCACCCCCTTGGCGTGAGGCAACCTTGGGCGCCTGCAAGGAGCCCAGGTCCCCAAGATCGAGTGAGCGGGCCACCCCAGGTCCCAAGGCAGGGTGGCTTCTGCCAGCTGGGGCCCGCTGGGGACAGAGCAGGTCTGTACCCAGTGCTGAGCAGGGCCACCCTGTGGGCGGCCTGGCCAGGGCTGCCTGAGGACTCTCATCCCCAGGACAGGGGCTTCCCCAAGCCCGCGCCCATGACCTTGGAGGACCACAAGACTTCTCCTCCCACCTGAGATCGTGGGATCCCCCAAAAGGAGGGCAGGCACTGCCCTCGCCCCAGATGAAAATGCAGGACAGGGCAACAGGTTGGGGTGGTGGGCACCTCCCGGTGATTCTCCACGTCCTCAGGCAGGGATAAGCGGGCTGTAGCTGGCCACCCACATAGGGAGGGACTTGTCCCAAGCCCAGGTGCCTGCCTGCTCTCAGCCTCCCAGACCCCCTCCCTCAGCAGACAGCGCTCGGAGCTCTGCCTCTATGTCCAGGCCCCAGGCCATGCCTCTCGGTTCAGAGCACGCACACGGGGCAGCCTCACTCTCCCTCCTAGCCCCCCCGGCAGCCCCGGCCTTGGGCCACTTCTTGGCCTTGCTCTGGCAGCACTGACAGGGCCAACACAGGCCTCCGTGCCCATCCACCAAGGACCTTGAGCTCTGAGTGAGGGCAAAAGGAGGACACACCTGGGGGAGGGTCCAAAAGGCCACCTGCACCCCAGGGTCTCACCACCTCTCAGATGCACAGCAGACGGCCCATCTCACCCCAACCTTCCACCCACCCAAGAGGTCAGGATGGCCCGCTCTGCAACTCCACCTCTCTGTGCACCGGCTTGAGAGGCCCTGACCTGCCACACCCCCGCAAGTCCTCAGCCTCCAGCGCCTGCCCCCTTTACAGCGGTTAGTTTTAATTATAGAACTTAAAAAAAAAAAAAGAAGAAGAAGAAGAAGTCAGCTTACCTTATGGAAAAGGAAAGGTGAGGAGGAGGGGAAGAGAGGGAATGAGGAAGGAAGGAAGAGAGAGAGAAAACAAGATTTGTGGAGGTTCAGGCAGGGAGCGCAAGTCTGCAGCCCGGGATTCAGAGGCTCCTGCCTCGCCCGCCCTGCCCACGCTTACGCCAAGCGGTGCCCCAGGACGGCCGGTGCAGGTTAGAGAAGCAGCCCGGGTCAGACGCCGGGGGCAGGGTCCCTTGCCCCGGAAGAAGGTGGCACAGCCCCGATAGCCGGCTCCGAAAGCTCTGGCTAACCAGCCCTGAAGTGGGGGCTGCCTGCTTAGAGGGACCAGAGAGCCCCAGCAGGTCTGCGGGGGGCACTTTGCTGCTGGGGACATCCCCAGAGACCACTGATTCCGACGGCACATCAGAAAGACAGGCACTCAGACCCAGAGGGATGCAGTGGTTATCAAAATGGGCCCGCTCTCCACCAGCAACATCTGCATCACATAGCCTGGGCCAGCCCCAGACCTCCTGGGTGGGCTCAGTTTAATTGTTCATTTGCTCTGGGGGATCCTGATGCTGGTTCAGTTTGAGAACCACTAATCAAGGTCCCCAGTAGGGTGGCCAGCCCAGTCCCGGCTGCTGGGCGCCACCTGCTGATGCCCTTTTCCTGTCCAGGTGGCCTCTGGACTTTGTATGGGGACACAGATGACTATCCCCAGCCAGAGGGCCCTGTGGGGTCATCGGAGAACCGCTACACTGGGCGCAGCTTCAGTCCCCAGGTTTCCTCCCCAGTAGCCCCCCAATACCCTCATTTTCCTCCTAGGATCCACGGGGCAAAGTTTAATGAAGAGCCAGACTCTTGGCCCCACCTCTTATCTGGCCAGCCTCACCCCCCGAGAAGCACCACAGGATCCCAGTGAGTGAAGGGACCATGGGCCTTTCCTTGTCCCCCAAGCCTGGCCACTCTGCAGTTCATCCTCCCAAGGGAAAGGCCTCACTTGGTGAGGCTGGTCTCAGGATCACACCCTGATGCCCGGGCAGCCCTGCCCTGCAGGCATCTGGGGCCACATCTCACTTCTATGGGGGAGACGCTGGAAAACCTCCCCTGGTGGCAGCCACATCTGCCTCCCTGTAACTCACCACGGAGGAACCGCCAAGCCCGTCAGATGTAGGAACTCCTGAGCCTCCAGGGCCAAAAGCCTGACTTGTGAGCAGCAAGACACCCCTGCTGACCTCACCTCTCTGCTCCCTTCCCCACCTCCCGTGCGCAGGGAGGGTGCCACCGCCCTGAAGTGGGAGTCTTGCTGTGGTCGAAGAGCCCAGGGACCCTGTCTGTGCTGGCCAACCAGCTGGCCGGATAGGCCTGGAGGAAAGTGGCGCCCACCCCATCTTGAAGGCACTTGTCGTGAGAGCTGAGCAGGTGAGAAAACTGACCCCCAGCCCCCAACTTAAGGTGGGCAGTCTGGGGAGAGTCACCTCCCAGTGCCACATAGCAGTGATCAGCGGTGCTCCCAGCCAGCTCTTCAAAACCAGCGCAGGCCAGTGCCAGTCTGAGAAGTCCAGCCAGGGCCCACTCAGGGCCCTGGTGGAGGTGGAGTCATCTGTGCCTTGGGCTTCCCCTTGGGCAGGAAAGGGGGCCCGAGCATCAGAGCCCGGGTGGAGGCAGACGGAGACCCTGGGACAGCCCTGGGTCTTAGAAGGGTCCCCTTCAGTCCCTGATTCTGTCAGAACCCACATTCCAGACCATGCTATTCAAGACAGTACCAGTTCTGCTCCCTAAAAGCCATCCCTCTGGGGACACAGACCACACCACGGCCCAGGCTCTGGGAAGCCTGCAGCAGACACCTGTTCTTTGAACTGACTCCCACATGCTCCTCCCTGGGAATCCCCAGACCTCTGTGTCTGGACACACAGCTGCCCCCATCCTGACCACAGCTCCTGGCTGCCATGTTCCCTAGAAATTCACATCTCTGGCTGAGATTAATCAGGATCCTGTTGGCTTCCATCTACACTAGTGATTGAAGGCATAGGGAGTTTCTTCATGTCTTCTCAAGTCAAATTCACTACTATGCGGCGGGAACTGAGGTGAACCAACCAGGAACCCTAGACCCCCGGGGAGACAAACAGCGGCCCTCTACCCTACCCCGCCCCGGGTCCTCAGGGCCACGCCGTCACTGCACCCCAGCAGTTTGCCTGGGTCTCCTCTCGGTGAAGGCCAAGTGGGACCAACCAGGATGCTTTGATGAACTGCAAAAGATCTACAGACATCCAGTCTTCCCCTGGCCGAGCGCTCTATGTCACCCCAGAGGCCATCATCCACAGAGAAGCAATGTCCCTGGGACTGAGCCCCCTCACCCGCCATGTCTCCTAGGTCCAGCACATTGGCTGAGGTGGGCTGCCCTAGCCGGGGTGTGAGGGCTCAGCCCACAGGGCCCAGCCGTTACCTCGTCCCCTAGCTCGTCACTCACAGACAGCCATGCTGAGCTCCGTCCACATGCATGGACCACCGCAGGACACAGCGGCCCCGGGTGCCCAGGGCGGAGCCGCACATGCTCGCGGCCTCATGCACCGACGCCCAACATCCACTTGCAGGCAGCGGGCAGTGCAGGCGGGAGCCCCGGGCAGAGAGCGGCTCAGAGGCGCCTGCCTCACTCACAGCCCTCGGTCTTCACCAGGAGCCCCTAGTCTCACCGTTCCCTGCCCCTCTGCCCCTCCCTCCCCCCAGGTGCTCCAGAAAGGCCCAGAAAATGAAGCTGAGTCAGGATAGCCCCCGAAGGCCGGCCCTCTGGACCTGTCCACTGAGCTCACAGGAGGAGCGTGGACCCTCCTACCCAAGGATGACCCTGCCTTGAGCACCCCAGGAGGCAGCACTTGGGGTCCTCTGGGTGGGCAGGCAGGCCTGCACATCCTGCAGGGTCAGGGGAAAAGAGCCGGGCTGGACATGTAGGGAAGAAAGGGCCTAGGCCTGGGAGCAGCTGGGCATCTGCCCTGTCCCCGTAGACACTTGAGGCAGTGGCAGGAAGAGAGGGCTTCTTCTAGCCACATAACCCCATCTGGGGAGCACCTGGTTGGCCCTCAGCTGCAGCTACGCCCCACTAAGTTCGTGCCACCCTCAGCTTGGGTTGGGGCCATAGGCTTCTTAGGAGGTCTTGGGGTCCACTAGCCTCATAGGGTCTGGCCAAGGTCACAGTCGGGTGACTCCCTGGAAAGTCTGCCCTTCACAGACAGGGGAGGCAGATGGGCAGACTCTGCCTCTCCCCTCATGGGCTGGGGACGAGGTGAGGGGCCTCATAGAAGGAAACCAAGAGGAGGTCTATAAAGTCATTCCCTGGGAGGCCAAGGGCCACGTCTTGAGGCTCACAGGGCAGACATACGTGTTTGAGACTCTGTACGGACCACTGGCTCCATATGAGCGGCCGGGAGCACAGGGCACGTTCCTGAGGGCAGATTGAGGCCAAGTCCGGGGTGGATGGGGTGGCAGGTGGGCTCTCGGGCACGGTCTCTGCCCATGCCCTTCTCCCCAGGGCTCCCATTTGGGATTCAACGCCCCCAGCAGCAGCCCCAGAAAAGAGGCTCCTTGTCTTTCTAAATAGGGTCTTGACGGTCAAGTGGAGAGTGAGCCTCAGAGAGCAAAGGGCTCAGACCAGAAGTGGAGTGGGGGGGTCTCCTGACCCCCAGACTCAGGAATCAGGACCGGGGAATTCAGTCAAATGCACACAGGGTGACATGGCTCGGGGGTCACCTCGGCTGGCCCCTCCTATAACAGGTGAGGCTGCTGGGACATGGATGCTGGCTCCCTGCCCAGGGTAGGGGCTCTGTGGGCGTGTCCACGGCGGGAGCAGGGGCTCCCGGGGCCTCTGGGGTGGCTCTCAAGGCCCTGCTGGCGGCTGCGTGCAGCGAGGGGAGCTGCATGCCGACAGGCGGGACGTCTACCTTGTTCCACCAGCCCCATGGTGGTGCCGGAGGCCGCGGTGGACATTGTGGCCGGAGCGGTGGTCTGTCTGCCCACTGTTAGCACCGGGTTAGAGACGAGGGGAGGGGCGGACACAGACGAGGGTGGGCGAGGTGAGGGAAGAGAAGAGACAAAGGAAGCAGAAGAAGATTAGAGTCAAAGTTTAGGTGACGGATGGTTCCAGAACCCCTTTCACAGGAGCGTGAAAACAAGATGGAGACCGATTGACATTGGGAAAAGCATTTGCCTCCTTTCTCCTTGGAAAACCCCAGCGGGGCCTTCCGGGTGCCCGGCCGGGCGTGCAACAGGACACGTCCTATTAGTATTGGTGTGACAACATGCCCCCCAGCCCGGCAGCACAGTATCACAGCAAGGTAACAGGAGGGGGCGGGTGCTGATGCAAACGGACAACGAGGACGACCACAGACGCTCCCGCGCCGGCATCGCGGGCGACAGACAAGCCACAGGAGAGCGAGGGGGCGGCAGCCCCGCCTGGGGGACGTTGTCCCCGCTAGGCCTGCCCTGTCCCGAGGCCTCAGGGTCACCAATAGACCCTCGGAACGGCCGCATGCCCCCAGCCCTGCCCACCCTTCCTTTGTGCCCAAGCGGGCGGCCACCAGCCAGCGTGTCCGGAGCCTCCTCTCGCCTCCCTCTCTCCCAACACAGAACGGGTGCTCAGAGGATTCAGGACAACAACGAGGCCACAGAGGTGCCAACCAACACCTGGACAGATACACGGAAGTGCGGCCTGGCCGGCAGGCAGCTCAGACACAGACCCAACACGCAGGGACGGGCCCTCAGGGGGGCCCAGCCAGAGCCCAGGCCTCCTCTGAGGCCCAAGGGTCTCAGAGGGAGGAAGGCCGGGCCAAGCCGGGCTGGCAGCACAGGATGGGACTGTGGGGGTGAAGACGGGGCAGGCGGCTGGTGGCGGGTCACTCCCCAGGCTTCCCACCGCAGGCCTGCTGCTCCTGGAGATGGCTGTTCTCACCTGAGAAATTCCGTGTGGCCAGCATGGTGGTGAGGATCGCACCCTGGAGAGAGACACACGGCTGAGGCCAGGCGGAGACCCCCCCTCCCCCCACAACCCCCAGATCTGGGGTCAAGGCCTCTTAGAGAGCCAAGAGTTCTACACGCCCACCAGATGCACTCAGACAAGTCACCTCATGCAGAATTAACAATGACCTGTCCTGGGCCCTAAACTATCCACCAAACCAAGCTTCTAAAGTGTTTCGAGACCCCTGGGGGCACTGAGGCTAGGGGTCTGCCTCTCCCCACAGCCCTTCCTCTCCCTGAGAGGTGCATGCATAGCAGCCAGGGGCCTGGTCAGGCCTGAACATGCGCCCTCAGCACAGAGCAGCCTGTAGGCAGGACGGGCCTGGTGCCCAATGGCCTCCGTGCCCAGGGCCCCCTCCCTCCTGCCCCTCTGAGCCGCAGAGCTTGGCTGCTCTCCTGACCAGAAGTGCCCCGGGTCAGAAGCGGCTCAGCTCACTCCCACCCAGATAGCATGACCGACCACAGGGCATGCCTCCCAGCCCCCTGCCACCAGGGAGCCCGAGGAACACCTCACAGGCAGCGTGGGAGACTGAGGAAGGGCCAGCCGACATCTGGGGGCCAGGCCCACGTCTGGGCACCTTTGGTGTCATTGCCAGGGAAGGGACCAAGTCCACCTGACACATCTGGTCTGGATTTCACCCACGAGCAGCCTGTCCTGGGTGGCTAGGACCCCTGCCAGGCCTGCTGGGACCCCTCTAGCCACCCCCAGGGCGGGGTCCTCAGCGCCTCTGGGTAGGCGAGCATGTGAGCATGGCAGGGCGCCCTGGCCACACACTGGGGTCAGTGTCTCACCTTGAGCTTCCTCCGAGCGTTGAATTTTTTCAGGCACTCCACAGTCTCCTGCCTATGCATCATGGAGGCCACAGTAGAGCGTTGCTGTAGGGAGGGAACGAGGGAGGGTGTTACTGCAAGCAGCCCCGAGGGGCATCAGCTTTGTCCCCAAGGGGGGGCTCAAAAGAGGAGGGGTCAGGGAGAGGCTCAGGGCAGCAGCCCGCCTGGGGCTCTTGTGCCAAGAGCTACCAGCTACTCACTGCAGCCGGAGGCCACCTGTCCCCACTGCCTGCCTTATCTCCAAGTCCATCACCTCCTACGGCTGTCCACTCCACCTGCGCCCACCACCACCTGGCCCTCACCCTCCTTGCCACTCCATCCCCTCACACGCTGGACTGCGCCTCCTCTTCTCATGGAGCTCCTGTCCTCCCAGGGACTGAGGCCTTTAAATCACCAGCACATCCCAAGCCACATGGCCCTCAGGAGACCACAGGACCAACCCACTGGATTCGAGGAGAGGGCCCAAGGTCAACAGGCTAGGGGGTGGTCCGGGGCTGGTGCGACTTACGCAGACCCACGGGTGCTTCAGTGCCTCATGTGCCGTGATGCGCTTGGCGGGGTTGATGGTCAACATCTGGTTGATGAGGTTTTTGGCTTCGGGAGTGACCGTGTCCCACTCGGGGGACGGGAACTAGAAAGGAAAACCAGGCACAGGGGAGCCTGAATCCCCCTCCCCAGACAGGAGACAGACTTCTCCAAAGGGTCTCATCTGAAAACAGGGGTGTCACCCCACACCCTGCCTCTGCCAGCCTGCCTCCCCCAGATGGAGAGGGATTGGGGGGTCCTGGCACTCACATCATAGGCCCCGGCCTTGATCTGCTGGTACAGCTTGTGCTGGTCCTCGTCCCAGAAGGGTGGGTAGCCCACGAGCAGGATGTACAGGATCACCCCTGCAGAGAGCCAAGAGCCCAGGGCCTCATGCTGATGCCCTCACTGCCCACGCCCAGCAGCCCAGCGGAGCCCACCAGTGCAGCCACACACCAGTCGCATGCTGCCACAGGGTGTCTGGCGTGTGATCCTGGGATGGGAGCCAGATGCCCAGCTCTGGTACTGAACAGCTACAGGACCCTCAGCTAGTTTCTCAGCATCGGCTAGGGTGGGGGTCACTGCCCAAAGCCAGCAAGTCCCATGAGGACACTGGGGTCCTCAAGCACCCCCTCCTCTCTACCCCCACAGCCAGCATCAATCAGTGTCCCTCTTTGGAGACCCTCATGTTTGCAGAATGGCATAAACAGCTCCTCTGCCGCCCCACCCTACTTCACAGGGGAGGCCTGAGAACAGCCCCCTCCACTGCCCTGACTGTGGGGGCGACGCCCCTGGCAAGGAGGCAGCCCTGCCAGGGTGATCCACACAGCCCCCGCCCCTCCAGTATCCATCCACCATCCGGGCACTTGCTGCCCCTTCTCCAGACTGCTCTGCCGAGCATGGGGCAGGCAGTGGGGTGGTGGGCTTCTCGGCAGCAGCCAGGGTTGTGTTAGTAATTCTGGTCTGGGTGGGAGGGTGCTCCCAGTTGGGGGCAGCCAGGTGTGGGTCTGGTGCAGTGCTTGTGGGTGCAGCCCACCTCGCCCGGCACACCAGCCTCACCGCACGCCCAGATGTCCACCGGCTTGCCATATGCCTCCTTGCGCAGGACCTCGGGAGACAGGTAGCCCGGCGTGCCAGCGAACCCTAGCAAGAGGGGAAGGGGTGGTGTGAAGGACCACAGGGGCGGCCGACACCCCCGCCCTGTCCCCTGGCCAGCGGGCTGGCCGGGTACTCACCAAACCATGCCTGCTGGTCCCCCTGCACCTCAATGGCCAGGCCGAAGTCCGCCAGCTTCACCGCAGCCCCTTTGCACTTGCTGGCCAGGAGCAGGTTCTCGGGCTGTGGGGAAGGTGAGCAGCCCAAGGGTGTGGGGTTTACACCCAGGGGTGTCACCGGAGAGAGGGGGACAGAATACCCCTTGGCAGGTGGGGGCGCACAGGTCCCCTGACCACATGGGTGTCCCCCCAGCATGGCTGACATCTTTGGCTTGAGCGCACCCCAGAGCCTGCACCCCACAGTCTATCTCTATCCCCCACTTGCCAGGGGCAGGGACATGAGCCCTAAAGCTGAGGGAAGCTGGTTCTCAAAGTGCAAGCTTGTGAACTCGGGGTGCTGGGACCAAAACAGTACATCCTGGAGGCCCCAGCAGGCCATGCGGGGCCAGACCCCCACTGTAGGGGGACTTCCCTCCCCCAACCAAGGCTGGCTGCACAGTGAGAGCAGCTGCTGGAAGGTTCAGGCACTTCCTGCAGGATGGAGACTCTCAAGGGCAAGGAGGAAAACCAAGAGCTCCTAAGGCCTGAGCAGTGTAAGACATCCAAGTCCCACCAGCCCTGGGCTGGCTGCCCACAGGAGGGGAGGGCCCTGTGCGGACCTCCCGGTCTCGGGGAGCAGCGCCTTGCTCGTGCCAGAAGGAAGGGTATTCATCCCTGTCCCACTGGGGTGCCAAGGAGGCTGCTGCCCTGTGACCGGGAACACTTGGCTCCGAAGGCCCTAGGAGCTCTCTGTTCACTGTGTCCTGCTTGCTAGGCTCCTCCACCCCAGCCTGTCCCACTGGCCTCACCAGCTCCCAGAGGGCAGCGCTCAGAGCTCAAAGCCGCTGGACTCCCTCGGCCCTGGCTGCCGGGGGCTCTCCGGGCCCTCAGCCCCCTCACCAGGCCACCCTCCCGACAGGAAGGTCTGCTGACACCATGCCGCCCACCTTAGTGCCACCAAGAAAGACAAATGCCGCCAACAGAACTGAGTTAACCCTGCTTGGACACCAGGGGTGTGAGGACAAATCGTGTGGCATAGATGAATCATGCCAGCCCATAGGCAGAAACCAGAGCTTCTCCAGGCCCCACACAGCTGGTGGATGAGGCTCCGTCACTGCAGGTGACACATGCTGGGGATACTCAGCCCTGCCTGCCCAGCACGGCCGGGAGGCCTCTGAACACCTTGATTTTGCAGTGTGAGTAGGGCAGGGGGACCCCTTCAGTTCAGTTCAGTTCAGTCACTCAGTCATGTCCGACTCTGCGACCCCGTGAACCACAGCACACCAGGCCTCCCTGTCCATCACCAACTCCCAGAGTCCAACCAGACCCCTACCTCCCCACAAACCCCACACCAAGAATTCTGAAATAGACACAACATTGCAAATCAACTATACTTCAAGTTTTTAAAAATTGTTTTTTTAAAAAAAGAAGTCTGAAATTCTATGGGTCAGGGGCTGCAGCTGGGGGCTTGACGCAGCTTCTACAGATCAGATTCCCCCCACCCCAAGAAAATAAACCAGCATTCTTCGGCTTCCCAGGTGGCGCTAGTGGTAAAGAACCTGCCTACCAGTGAAGGAGACATAAGAGATGTGGGTTCGATCCCTGGATCAGGAAGATCCCCTGGAGGACGAAATGGCAACCCACTCCAGTATTCCTGCCTGGAGAATCCCATGGACAGAGGAGCCTGGTGGGCTACAGTCCATGGGGTCACACAGAGTCGGACACAACTGAAGTGACTTAGAATGCCTCTCTGGGAAGAAGGAGCTAAGGGAACCTAGTCCCTGGAAAGAGCTGGGCAAGAAGGCTCTTCCCTGGGGGGAGACGGAGGGGACCCAGCTGGGTTGCACAGCCAAGATGGCACAGCCCATCTCACAGCCGCCAAGATGGCACCAAGCCCCTCTGCTCTCTCCACCCTCCACACCTTGGCTGAGAGGAAACCCACCACAGTATGCTCCTGGAGGTCTGTCTCGGCCAAGATGACAGAGGCCTCTCTAGAGGAGGAGGGACAGCCTGCTCCCCCCAACACCTGGAGGGAGACAGGAGACCAACTCGTCCTAACCCCTTTTTCCTTTTCTCAGCAAGGGTTCTGGGTGCCCTCAGGTCACACCTTGGCTGGGGAGAGCATCCATCTGCACTTCGGAGCTTTGGGCTCCAGGTTTGTTATGCACCGTGAGGTCCAGGATGAAGGAGGGATGCGTGCCCTCTTCCCTACGGCCCCTATTTCCAGAGGCCCCTGAGTGAGGCCCATGCAGACAAGACACAGAGACAGAGGGGCACCCACAGGACAGGCAGTCATCGGGGGGAGCCTGGGCAGGCCCATGAGAGGATAGGGGACCACACAGCACATGCAGAGTGGGAGCGGGGACACATGAGGGCACAGGGTGGGTCCCGGGCCTGCTCCTGGTGGGACATCCCCTCAAGAGCAGCTCCACAAAATCAGCTCACACACACACACACACACACACACACACACCTCTGGGCAGCCCCAGAAGGATGTGACTCCATTCAGCCCTAGCACCCACGGGAAGGTTGGTCTCAAACACCACCAGCAGGGATGCAGGCCCAGGGATCCCCATCCCCTGCAAAACCAACGAGAGAAGAAACTGACCCAAACTCAGACTTGGAGAAAGCTGAAGTCAAAGAAAGGAGGAGAGATTGAGAGGAGGAGGAGGGGGGAGGGGGGAGGACAGGAAGAAGGGGGAGGAGAAGGGAGAGGCAGAAGGGCTGCAGCTCCTCCTGAGGGCCCCTCCCACCACACGGAGGCCTGGGGGTGACAACTCTTGTTTTAAATGATTTGCAGTCACTTTGCCCAGAGCAAAGCCAAGGGCCACAGAGATGAGTAGAAAGGACTGGAAGTTTGAAGAGACCAAACTGGCCCCTCCACCCCCTGCTCCCGAGGCATCAGCCCCACCTGTGTGTACATTCTCTGTGTCTCTCCTGCCAGGTCCGAATCTCAACTGGAGCCCAGAAAGCGAGACCCCGCGTAGACATGTGCTACTAGGCTGGTTCTTGACAACTGTCCCCTCTCAGCCCTGAAGCCTAGAGGCATTGGGAGGGATGTATACAGACACATGCATGCATGCACACCCACAAACACACATGCGCGCACACACACAGTCTCACACACATGCACAAATGCACATGCATATGTACACGTGCTCACACATACACACATGTCCATGTGTGCGCACAGACCCACATTCTCGCAAGCATGCACCTTCAAACACAAACACATGCACACACCCACTCTTATATGAGCCATGCACATGTACACATGTGCACACACATTCTCATAGGCGTACACCTTCACGCGAAAACACACAAGAACACACATATGCAAACATCCTACACACACACGTGTCTTCTGGTGCACTGCCCTACCCCCAAGTCTCCCCTTAAACACGACATGCAGTTACAGACAACAGACACCTGGCACAGAGTGGGGAAGGGAGGGGAACTCACCTTGAGGTCCCTGTGGACGACCCCCATTTGGTGGCAGTGGAGAACCGCCTCCAGGATCTGCTGGATGCAGTGACTGCAGCAAACAGCAGGCGCATTAGTGCAGGTGGCCCCTGAGGAGTGGGCGGGGTGCAGGAGAAGGGTGCTGTGTGGGAGTGGTGGGGTCTCCAGCCCAGTGGGGGCCCGGGGGAAGCAGGGAATCAAGGTGCTGCCTGCCACATGGGGGAGAAGACCCTGGCCAGAAGGGGGCCTCTGGGGCTCCCTCTTCACCCCCAAAGGTCAACACAAGGCATGCCCTCCCCTCTAACCAGGCCCACAGAGGAAAGATGCCTGGCCCCAGTGTACTCCACCCCAGGCTCATGCTGGCCATGCCTGGCCCTGAGCTGAGTGCCCTTGGGGAGAGAGGCCAGGGTTGAGTCTACACCCTGCAAGGCAGGCTGGAGACCCAGACAACGGGAGGGGAGGGGAGAGGTGAAAGGGCAAGGGAGAGAGGGCAGGCCAGTGCCACAGTGCGGGGGTGCTGCCCTGGGCACTGGGGCCCCTCTCTGTTCTGAGGCTGTGCTAACGCTGCAGTCACCAGCACACATGTGTGAGAGCGGGTGTCATTTCATTAAAATAAATTTCATGTCCACTCTGGCTGCTGGCTGCCGTGCTAGACAGCTCAGCTCCATAGCAACACTGGGGTTGCTGGGGGCAGCCTGGCACTCTCCAGGGCCCCGAGCCAGGGGCTTCCTTCCAGATTAGGGAGAAGTCTCGAGCCTTCTGGGGCATCACTGGTTGGAGAAAAAGGTCCAGGCTCTCCCCAAGCACCTCCCACACCTGGGCTTCAGCAATGGCCCTAGGCATCAGACCCAGGTGCCTCCAGACCTAGACGCCCCCAGCCCCGGTGACCTGCACCTGCCTCCTCTAGGTGGTTGGGAAGTGTCCAGCTGCCCCCAGAGCCAGGCACAGACCCCTGGGGTTCCACAGCGCCCCTGCAGCATTACCAGCCACCAGAGACAGGCGTGCCACAGGCTGCCATCGCCCATCCCTGGGGTCTTGGTCCCAGCTCCTCTGGTAGGGGCGAGGGAGGCAAAGGCAGGACTGTTCCTGCCATGGCTCGATCGGGGAGGTGACTGAAGGTCAGCTAGAGGGATGGACTTTGTTTTCCTAACAGCAAACTCAGAGAAGGGACAAGAAACCAGCCCATGTTCTCAAATAGCTCTGACCACACCTGGAGACCACCTGCTGGTCTCCACCTGCTAGAAAAGTAGCCCTGAGTGTCCACCCTGAAGAAACCTGGGCCTCAGAGTCCTAGTGATGATGGGTTTCCTGAGGTTTATGGGGTCAGAAGGAGTTAGGCCCAAACCTGTGGGTAACAGTCCCCCAGCAGCCCCTCCCCTTAGATGCCTCTAAGGGCTGTAAACCCCAGCCCCGCCCCAAGCCCTGAGCTCTCCTGTCCCACCTGCTCCCAGGGCCTCCCTCCCTGCTCCTGTCCCTCCCACCACACTCTCACCTGCCAGCCTCGGTCTTATTGTGGTCCTCACCCTCATCCTGTGTCCCCAGCTCCACATCCAGCCACTACCAGCCCCCCTGTGACTGTAGACACGGGCTCAGCCCCTCCAGGCTGCCCCATCAGGGCAAGTTCATCCATGGGCCTCTTTCCTCGTGGGCAGAGCTCAGCTGTGAGGTCTGGGGAGCTCCTCTGAGGTCAAGACAGGCCACTGGGTGGAGGCAGAGGCCAGAGGAAGCCCCAACACTTGAAGTTGAGGCCGCTGAGCTGGGGCCCCAGGAAGGGGCTGCTGGCTTCCCCAGTTCCTGGGAATCTGAGCCCCGGGGAGCCGTGCTGGGGCATCACTGCATCCTCCTGGATCTCAGCCCTGAGTCCCTGGACCACCTGCTCACTGCAGCACCCCACCCCACCCAGGGGCTCAGGGACCCTCAGGTCGACCAGCGCCTGCCTGTGCTGCTGTGGCCAGACCCTGATTCTGCCCCTGGGGGTGTCCACCTGAGCTGTGTACTCTGCCATCCATGTGGAACCCCAAGCCTTCCTCCACACCATCAGCAGTCCTCACAGACACAGGCTGGAGTCCCCTGGGCCACTGGCCACTCCCGGAAAGCCCTGGAATGACCTGGCTCCAACCTCAGGCCTGCTGAGACCCCTGCAAGTCTTGATGTTAGTTTTGGGTCAATCCCATCTTCTTTCTTCACCCTCATGACCTTGCCTCTGCTCTCAACTTCAGGATGCTCTCTAGACCTTCCTCCGTGTGGAGCGAGCTCGGGGCTCCCACATCGTCCCCCCTGCAGTCACGTGGCAGCCCTGCACTCTGGGTGGTGTGCATCTCTGCACTGGACTGTGGCCTCCATGACTGCAGAGACATGTTAGTTCTCTCCTCTCATTGTGTCCTTGGCCTTGCAGGAAGGTTTCTTGGACCTGGGAGGCACCTACTGCAGCACTAATTGATACATCGGCTCAGATGTGGGTGGGCGGTGCCCTCTGTCCTCCTCTGTGTCCCCGCCTAAGGATTCAGGGCTCCAAACTAGTGCCAGGATGGGGTGACTACACCTGCTGAGCCAGCACCAGTCTGCATCTCTCCCTGGGCATCTCAGGGCTCAGCCCAACCACTGAAATCAAGCCCTACAGTTCTGACACAGCCCTGTCCGCCCATCCCGCAGGCCCCGCCCCAGAGAAAACTGTGCGGGGTACACCCCTTCGCACAGCCAATGCGGCAGCACCAGCCTGTCTCCCAAGCCTATTCTTCGCAGCATCCCTGGGATTGATGGGCAAGTGGTCTCTGCAGCCAGCAGGTGGACGGGACACTCACATGCCTGGAGAGCAGCCCATTCCGGGAAGCCTGCCCTCCAGGGATCCCTGGAGACTGCTCCTGGCGCCCTTCTCACCCTGCTCCCACCCTGGTCTCCAGTCTGAGACCACGGCCTTGGGGAACATGAAACTGACAGGCCCGTCACAAGGTCCCTTCTGCCTTCCATTTACATTATACCATCTTCCTCATGAGGACTCCTTTCAAACGGAACAGTTTAGAAAGTCACTTTGTGGGCAGAATTGTTCCCCGCGTCATTCCAGATGCTGGCCGGTCCTGGACATTATTCTCCTGGTTCGAGGCTCTGCTGTTACCTGGGATATGATCCTTCCCCTCCCTTCCCCTTCCTCCTCCTCCCCCTCACCCCCCAGGGTCAGCCAGCATTCTCACACACACACACCCCCAAGCACCTCTCATGAACCATACTATTTTCAGGGTTTTTTAAAAATGGATTTGAACTTTGCTTTCCAAGGTTTGAAAAAAAGACCCCTAATTTTCCCCACAAACTCCAAAATAGATTCCACTTTCTCTTCAAAGGAATCTCCAGCCTTCTTGGTTAGAAAAGGGTTCAGAAAAGCAACTCCTGCCTTGCGCCCTCTTCCTCTAGAGATGTGATACTTCAGGAATTCATCAGATGCTCAGCTCTGAGCAGAAAGGGCCCAGACAGGGCCCTGGAAAGGGGTGGGTGCACTAGATGGTGGCCAGACTGCATCGTGGTTAGGGAGGTACCCACCACCCCAGCCAGGTGTCTAGGGCTCCAGTTTCAACACAGCCCAAATCCCTTTCAGAGGAGGTCCCCAGGGGAAATACCCTCCCAGGGTGGGAGAAAGCCTTTACCCCCATCTGCCCAGCTCCTGGTGATGCCTGTGGGCGACCCACCCACGTGGGCATCCACATCACTCTCTCAGACCCTCCTGCCTACAGGATAAGCACCAACACAAAGATCAAACACACAGTTCCGGGGCGAGGATTCCCGGGAGAAACGACAGCCAGACATACAGGTTTAATGAGTGGGGCCGGCTGGGAGGGATCCCCAAGAGCGCTGCCTCTCACTCTCTTCCTCATAGTCTGGCCACCAGCAAGGCGGAGCCTAGGAAACCAAGCATTTGAGGAGCCTCCACAACAGATACCCAGGGAGGAAGATCCAGATCCCTGCCACCTGGACGGGCAGGAGGGAGGCACAGAGCTGGAGGGGTCGGGTGGTGCGGAAGGGGATGGAGTAGATGAGGTCAGGAGGTGAGGGGGGCAAGGGTGGAGCTCCAACGACAAAGTGTTGGATGGGGGATGTGGGTGGGGTGGGGGAGGGAGTGCAGGAGTAGAGGTGGGCACGGGGGCCTCCCAGCCAAAAGCAAGGCTCCGCTGTGGGTCACATCCCCTCTCCAGCGAGATCGTCCCCAACAGAGGGCGGGAAGGTGCCAGGCCCCAGGCCATGCCCCGTAGTGGGCCCTGAGGACCAAGGAGCTCTGGCAGGATGCTCTAGGAGGGTAAAAGAGAACAGCTAAGGTAAGCCCTCCCGCACCCCGAGGCACCCGGGAGGTACTGCAGGCAGAACCGGAAGGCAGCCCTCCTCGTTTGGGTTCTGCAAGTCGTTCCCAGGCTGTCATGCAAAGTGAACACCCTTCTTCAAGGAGCCTCAGGAAAGCAGCCAGTGCCCATGTACCCTCGGGAGCCAGAGCCCTGACCGGCCGCCCCACTCCACCACAGACCCCAACACCCCACCCAGCGCCCGCCAGGCCCCTGGCCTCCTGCTGCCCAGGTGGGGGCCTGGGTGATACCAGAACCCACTCCCACCCTCTCAAGGGGGCTCAGGCTGTCACTGACAGGCAAGGTTGTCTGGGGGTGCAGAAGCCAGTCTCAAATAGCTGCTTTTTAAAATAATGTTGATTAGAAAGGGAATATATATTCATTAAAGACAAATTTTAAAATAGACAAAGAAGATTCAAAAATTGAGAAGCATCTGAAAATTCACAGCCTAGAGAGGACTGCTTCCAGTCTTTTTATTCTTTTCTTTTAAATGTATGTTTCCCTGGAAGCCCGGCGGGGTCAGGCTGGGCTGGCCGGCAGTGGTGGCCCAGAGATGCACTGTCAGGAGTGACATAACTGTCATGGGTCAGAGTGGTGTCTGGGCAACAGCATGGGTCATGGGGGGGGGGTTGCCCACGGAGGGGTGCCCACCCTTCCAGGCAGGGCCCTGCCATCCACCAGCAGCCTCACCGCAAACAGCATGTCTGAAAATGTCAGCTCCCTTCAACCCCCCGTGAGGGCTGATAAAGTCCCTTCACCCCCCACTTCAGACCCTGGCTTCCTGCTTATTGCCCCCCAGGGAGCCCTGAAGGAGGGCCAGTGGGCACCTTTCCCACCAGCCCAGGCCCCATGGCCTTCCCTTTCTGCCTCCAAGGTGGTCCTGGGAGGATGTCACAGAAAGGGGTTCCTGGCCTGTCTTGGGCAAAAGCATTTGGAAACCGTGAGTCTCCACGGGGAAGGCCTTGGTCAGACATCCAAGGCAGGCAAGAGGAGGCCCACCACCACGCTCCATCCGCTCTCCCCCCACCAGCCACCGCAAGGAGAGCCCCTCTGTGGGCCAGTTCCCACCCTGGGGCAGGCTTGGGCCCTCCCTGACTTGGGACACATGAGCTGCCCGCCCCCACCCTGGCCCCAGGACCTCCCCAGAGGGCTCCAAGCAGGGCTTTCGCCCAGCTGACCATCTCCCTGGACCATGTCAGGGACAAAGTGCATGAGAGAAGATGGGGGCCAGAGGAGGAGGAGCAAGGCTCAGTGAGGGAGGGCCAGGCAGGAGAAGAGGGAGAGGGAGCGTGAGAGGGCTCTACACCCACCTGGCGTCCGCCTCACTGTAGTACTCTCTCGCCACAATGTCCTCAAAGAGCTCCCCACCAGTGACCCTGTGAGAAGAGCAGAGAGGTCCCCTCCATCACCACCACCATCTCCACCTCCACCCCGTGCTCGTCATCACCACCAGCATCTCCACCGTATTCACCTCCACATCCCCCGCACTGCCAGCGCCTCCATCTCCAGAGTTACTCAGGACTGACACGCTTTAGTCTTCACACCCCTCTCCATGCACTGGTCTCTTAAGCTCAGAAAACTGAGCTTCAGTGATCTCAGTGACTTTCCCAGAGTGGGCAGACCAGGAGTTTGTTCTAGGCCTCTGGACTGTTACCCAGGCTTTGTGACTAATTCCAGGCCTGAGAAAAACTGGCTTACCCTCCTCAAACCCCCCAAGGCCAGTGATGCGGACCCCGCACAAGGCGGAGGGGCCAGAAGTGACAGTGCATGGATGTGGCCTCCCCAGTGGATGAGGTCACGAGGTGTTCAAAGTCCCATCTCCAGAGAGTAGGACCTCCATCCACACACTCTCTCGCCGGTTGTCCCTGGGCCAGGGAGCAACCTTCAGGTCCTAAGGTCAGGATGGATCCCCCTGCCCAGGGCAGAAACCACGCCCTGGAGAGCCTCGGGGAACCCAGCAGAAATCCCAGCCACTCAGGATCCCCTGGCTGAGAATGTGGGTGTGGACAGCAAGGTGAAAAGCAGGGCCAAGGCTGGATGCACAGGGGAGCAGGAAAGCTCAATCCCCGGGTCTGTCCGAGCCCCTCATCCTACTCGGCCAGCTCCAAGTCCACCAGAAGGTCCATCTAGAGCTTTTCTACCCCTGCAAGGTCTTGAGTCTCCCTCCCATGTCTCCTCCAGTGGGGACACCAAGGGACACTCCCTCTGCAAACACACCCTCCTTCCACACCCCCTCCAACTGTGCTGGCCCCACATGCTGGGATCTCTCCACTTGCATCTCAGTTCCCATTCGTTCTTGGGACTTGGGGCTTGGGTTGGCCTTGTTTTGTGCCCAGCACTCAGGGCCAGGCTGGTCCACGGTGACCACAGGCATGGGCACTGCTGAACAGTGGCCCTGGCGTGAGCAGGCTCTCTTTTAGAGAAACACAAAACTGGGGATGCAGTGGGTGCTAGGATGCCCCTGCTGGAGGCTAGATGCTGGCCCTCAAATCCTGTTGGAAGCCAACTACCCCAGGAGCAAGGAATTTTTCAGGTTCCAGGAGACTAAAGCTCAGACCCTGATGATGGAAAGATTGAAGGCAAAAGGAGAAGGGGACGGCAGAGGATGAGATGGTTAAGTAGCATCATCTACTCAACAGACATGTATTTGAGCAAACTCTGGGAGACAGTGAAGGACAGAGGAGGGTGGTGTGCTGCAGTTCATGGGGTTGCAGAGTTGGACACGACTAAGCGACTGAACAACAACAAGGCTCAGAGCAGGTGACTGTCCAAGGGAGAAGAGCCCCGTGTGTCTGTGTGTGCTTGTGTATCCATGTGTACATGTATGTGTGTGGAGGAGGAGGATGGAGTACTCGGTCCAGCCCAGAAGAAGAGGACTCGCTATTTATTTTTCTGCACCCACAATTCTCAGATCAGGCTCTGCAGGCCCCGAGTCCAAGCACAGGGTAGAGAGGAAAAAGCCACAGGTACTGACCAGGGCTGCCAAAGGAGCCCAGGGAGCCCCCCAGCCCAGTAGCCCTGCCCTGAGCCAGGAACGAGACCGCTGGGGCCCCGCATCCACAGGAGGCTCTAGCTGTGCTGATGGGCATCAGGGGCCTTGTGGTCCAGGGTTGCAGGGCAGGGAGTTGGGGGCGGGGGGTGGTGGGAAGCTGCCGTCTCAAGCTGGCCGGGAAGGGTGTGGTCTGGAAACCAGCATTCTCCCTTTCCTCAGATCCTGGCCACTCAGCATGGCCAATTCTGGGATATAGCCACAGCCTCCCGGGGAGCCCCTTCCTCTGTCCCCAGGCCTGGTCCCCAAGGCCATGTGACATTCTGAGGCATGGAGAGTGGGGAAATCTGTCAGTCCCCAAATCCACAGAGCTCCCCAAGTCGCCTAGGTCCAGCGGCCTCCTGAAGGTGATGCCAACTCAGGCCAGACACTTCTCCCCAATTCTGGGGCCACAGAGTCCCAGAGGGTCTGCAGCGTGGCACAGGAGGGCAGTGTGGGGCTGGGGGTGGGGGTGGCAGGGCCTGGCAGCATCTCTACGCCTCCACTCCTCCCCTCTCCCTCCACAGCACCCCACGTCATGCAGGCCCTCCTGCCCCCACCAAACAGCTGCCTGAGGCCTAGCGGTGTCCTGGATGCCCCCAGAGAGGCAGTTTCAACAGGCCTGAGGGCCACAGTGGTTTGCAGGGAAGATGTGCAAAGCCCAGGGCTCCCTCTTCCCACCTGTTCCAAACACACCCACTAGTTTCCTCCCATCAGCCCCGCTCAGAGCCCTCCCCACACCTGCCTGTTGCTTGAGCCAGGAGAGTCAAGGCGCTCCCACACTCGTGCATGCACGTGTATGGGTGTGCACACATATACACACATGCGTACCCGCACACACATCATTCTCTTCCCTTTCACTGCTCCTGAATCCCACACACCCTCCTGTCGGCCACCAGGGGCCTGGACATGGCCACCCTCCAGCCCAGGGCCTCTATATTTCCTGGAAAAAAGCTGGTGAAGCTGAATGGATCTGGGGACCCACGGGGGTGACAGCAAAAGGTCCATGAAACAGAATGCTCAGGGCACAGCCTTGGCCCAGTACGGGCAGTTGTATCACAGGTCAGCCCTGGACACCTGGCTGGTATCTCGAAGTGGTGTCTTGTGGGACATGGGGAACTGTGGGGGACAGTTCCAGCATCTCCTGACCAGAGGATCCCAAGTAGGCCAGAGGTTCATTCCTCAGGTCTCCACACCCCGTGGCCGAGGCATCTGTCATTTGAGGGAGGAGGTCCCTTCGGAGACACATCCTGTCCCCATGGCCAGGGCCCCTGGGCTGGGCTTCCCAGAGGCCACACGGAGCCACCCCAAACTACCACCTCTGCCCACCGCAGGGTCCAGAGTCACACTGACTCAGGACAGCTAAATACAGCCCCGCTCAGCCGGAGCCGTCGGGGAGTGAGGTGATGAGATCACTGCTTCTAAATCCAGCAAGAAGTGAGAGGAGGCAGGGGCCCCAGATGCTCTCACTCAGCACAGCTCACACACACGTGTGCACATATACACCCATGTACACACTGATCAAATCACACATCCATCATCTACATCCACCCCCCCCACAAATCACACATACAAATGTGCACACACGTGCATGCATGATTTGTGAGAGTGGATATATGCACACACACCCCACAAATTATACACATGTACACACACCGGCACATACACACCCACAAGCCACGTGTGTGTGCACACCTGCACCCGTGGACATGCATGCAAACAGGTACATTCCCCCACAAATCATTTGCACACTCACACTTCAGGCAATCATACACACACTCTTACATGCTGATGCCAACATATACCCATGCACACATGTGTATGTTCACACCCCACATGTCCACACCAACTCACACACACATTCACATACATACACATGCGCACACACCACAAATCACACGTGTACATGTGTTCATATAATTACACACATATGCACACACTGAAACCCACTCATGCACATGCCCCCACAAATCACACCCACAGATGCCTGCTCATCAACATATATGAATGCACACACACAGTCACAAACACACAGGCAGTCTTATGCACCCAAGCATACACTCATGCCAGTCCATGGGCCCCAATGCAGTGGTGATGAGAACACCAAGGAAGGTAACAGAAGACCGAGGGCCAGACCGTTCCTCCGAGATCCTTCCCTCCCTCCTTCCCCTGCCTTGGCCTCCAGCACACCCTGTTCTGGGTGGTCGGGAAGGGGCCCAGCTAGGCAATCCCATCCCTGGGGGATTCCATACACCAATGCAAAGCCAACAAACCAACGACGTAGGCTGGGGGCGAGGTGACCCAGGAGTCGGGGGACTGTCTGCCAGGGCTACAGAAGCCAAGGGGCCCAGCCCAGGCCCAATGCTGGGAGCAGACGAGAGCCCGTGTCCCTGGGCTCCGGCACTTACAGATCGAAGACCAGGTAGTGGAAACCTTCCTCGGAGATGCTGTCATGGAGGCGCACTGTGGGAACAGGAGAGGCCATGAGCAGGGGCAACAGCCTGGGGCCCACCCACACTGCCCAGACACTCATCCAGGCCCACAGCCAGCAGCACAAGCCCTTCAAGGAGGGCCCGTAACCCCACCGAGGGCCTGTGGCTTCCGACAGTTTGGGCTGGGGAGGGCCCGGGTGGGCACTGCAGGCAGAGTCTGCGGGGTGAGCCATGGGCCCTGCAGCCAGCTGACCCCAAGTCAACATCCGAGGGCCTCAGGGGTCTGGTCTTTCCTGTCTTTTCCTTTCCTTTGCCAGAGGAGACCCAGTCCCCTCTCAGTCCCTGGCCAGGTCCCCTGCTCCCAAATGCAGCAGAGAGCGCAGGAGGGGGCGGGGCGGGGACGAAGGCCCCCCCACCAGGCCTGGAAAGGAGCCACTGAGGGGCTTCATGGGAGAGGAGGGCAGAGAGCCCCACTGCTAACCCATCAGGACAGGCTGAGGTGGCAGGGACCCCCGGGGGAGGACCACCTGCCCAGGGCCCAGTATGGCATCACTGCCGAAGAGTCAGACCCTGATTTCCCACTCCAGAACCTGCAGGGTCAGCAGGATGGCGCCACGACCACGCATGCCCTCTCTGCTTTAGTTTGTTTCTCCATCTCCTGAGCCTTGAACAAGGCCTGGCCAGAGCTGTGCTGGTTAGGAGTTGACGAATGAATGAACGAGGGAATGAGTAGGTGAGTGAACAGCGAGGAAGATTTCAGCATGAAGAACACAACTCCAAGGCCTCCTTTTCCCTGAGCTGGAGATGTGCCCGGCACTGAACGGCAGGTATTTCTAGGAAACTCTGGACACTTCCCGCCGGGTGACAGATCCTGCCTTCTGTAGCTGCAGCCTACAGTGCGCCCACCAGAAACCACCCCAGTCATCCTGAGAGGTCACACACGCAGCAGCCGTGCAGAGAGGGAAGTGACCGGCTGAGGGTCACACAGCTCACACAACGCTGAGCAGCAGTATAGGCAGAGCTCCCGCTTGGCCCCTCTGCTCCCTGGGCCTCCTGGCAGTCTTGCTCTCCACCAGGATGGACGGGCCTGCAGGAGCTGGAAGAGTGAAGAGCAGGCTTCTCCCAGGACCCACAGGTCCCTTCCTCATGCCCTCGAAGCTGCTCTGGTTTCTAGCTGGCTGTTGGCATCCTACCTTCTCCAGCTATGGACTTCCTAAGGGTCCGGCCAGCAGGGTCCTCTCATCAGGAACCCCAATCTGGCTACAATGGACCCCCAACCTCAGGCAAAACCTGGCTCGGGGAGCAGGCCTCACTCCCAGCAGTCAGGGCACCTGGTCACTAAGGACAAAGTGCATGGGCGGCTCCAGGAGGCACCGCATCTCACACCCTGCTTCTCTCACCATCTCCCCCACTCACTGCTCGCTCTGGATCTCTCTGCTCAAAGGGCCAGTATCCAGCTTCATCCGACCCAGGTCCTGGGGCCAATGCCTGGCACCCTCTCGCTCCCACCCAGACCTCAACTCCACCAGGTGGGTCTGCACTTTCCTAACATACAACAGACCACCGGCTCACTGCACCCTCCTCCAGGGCTCTCCTGCAAAATCACTGAGTGAAACTCTCCCCCTGCCGATTCCTTTCTGGTGGGGGTCCAGCCACTCGGCCCCTCTGAGCAGCCTCCCCTGCCCCCAGCTGCTTCCCCTGGAACTCCAAGCAAAGACAGGCCCAGGGTGGAAGGGGGACGGGAGTGGAGGGGTCTGCCTCCACCACCCTGCCAGGCCTGCAGACAGCACCCCGAGAGGGACACTCGTGGGAGGACCCTTTTCTCTTCCCATGCAGGGGAATCCTCCTTCCCCAGGGGAGTCCCAGGGGTCCATAAATCTGGGGTCCTGCTGACCTTCCCCTCCTCCCCCCCCCATGGAGGCCACCCCTGCCCTCAGGCCCTGGCCCCTCAGAGCAGGTGAGAGGGGACTGGCAGAACCCTCAGCCTGAGAGTCAAGGCCACATGCACACACTCTCCTTTTTTTTCACTTAAACATTTTTAACATTTAAAAAATAGTTATGTACTACTTTAATGGTTTAGAAGAACACCCACCTAGCACAACAGACCCGTGATTTCACAGGCGGGGCTAAGTAAAAAAGGGAATTGTCACAGAATCTATTTAAGTAAAAACAGTAAGTAAATAACTGTGGGTGACATACAGCGGCTGCAACTAGAGCCCAGGTAGTTCCTGAGAGTCCAGCCTGGGAGCAAGGGGTTGGGGGACACCAATAGCCACAAGGGGGCGTCGGGAGCCCCGGGACAAGCCTCCCACTGTGGGGCTTGCTCCTCCAGGGACCACACCGAGTCCCAGGCCAGGGGGCTCTCAGTGGGGGTGGTCCTTCTGCCCCTCCCAAGCTGCCCCTCGAACCCCTCCATGGACTGCAGTACTGCGACGGGAGGAAGGACCCCAGGACCTATCTTTATGATCGGCTTTGGGAGGGTAGGGCTGTGGGTGGCGGCAAGGGCCCTGAGCTGCCAGAGACTGGAGACCTTTCACCCTCCCCTCCCGCACTGGCCTCCTCATCTCGGCAGGAAGTCCTCCCGGGGCCATCGTACTCCCTGGTGCCCACCTGCCCAGCTCCTAGGTGGACTATCCTGCAAGGGAGGGCAGTTCCAGCCCTGGAAACCAGGAGGTGGGAATTTGCCATCCATGAGCCAGGCCCAGGAGAGAGAGGATCCGTGTGCAGCGGGGAGGCCGGAAGGAGGCTGAGAGGAGGCTGGAAGGAGGCTGGGGAGCTGAGGGCTGCCCTCCTCAGAGTCAAGGCTGATGGCTCTACTCACTCCTGACAGGGCCCATTTTAAAAGGCTGTAGGGGGTTCTGCCTGGGAGAAGGCAATGGCGACCCACTCCAGTATTCTCGCCTAGAGAATCCTGTGGATGGAGGAGCCTGGTGGGCTGCCATCTACGCGGTCGCACAGAGTCGGACACGACTGAAGCGACTTAGCAGCAGCAGCAGCAGATGGTTCTGCCTACCATGGGCTCTGCTTAATATGTCACCCACAGCTCCGGGGGCAGGGAGGGAAGCTTGGGACACGCTCACCTGCGGAGCGGCAACCTCTCAGGGTGGCCACGGCCCACCAGTGAGGTGAGTGCAGGAAGCCTTGCCCTTGGCTAAGTCTCCACTCCAGGCACCCACCGGCAATGGGAAATATGCACTGAATAGGAATTCCAGAGACCCCAGGTGGAGGGGGCCATCCTCCCGGACAGTCGGGTACAACCCAGACATGTGTGTGGAGGGCACAACCCACAGTGAGGCCCTGGAGCTCATGTCCATCCTGGACACGCTCGCCTGCTTCCCGGGGACCCACATGGTGCAGTGGGCTGCCCAGTCCCCACAGCGTACCCACACAGGGCCAAGGCAGCCTGCACCTGTCTCCTCCGCCCAGGTGCCCGCTTGTCTCTGAATGGAAACTAAAGCCCCGGGAGTGGTGGGGGCTCTGCCTGTGGGCTGCTCCCTGGGGGCCCGACTCTGGGTACCCGCTCCTAACGGGACAGCCCAGCCAGCAGCCAGGAGACACTACGTGCTTCCATGTTGGTCGTGAGAGGCGTTCACATCCTCTGATGAGATTCACATCCTTTAAGAGGAGAGCTGGGCTCCTTCAAGCAAACAGAATAAGGCAAGGTGACGGCATCACCCCTTCCACACCAAACCATCAAAAGGCGTGGTGCTTCCTCCAGAAGTTACACACAGAAGCACCACGTGGTCTAGCCATTCCACTGTGAGGTTTACCCCCAAAGGACTGAAAGCAGAGATCCAGAAAGACACTTGTACACCCATGTTCGTGGCATCATTAGTCACAGTAACCAACAGGCAGAAAAAGGCCAAGTGTCCCCTGACGGATGAATGGATAAACACAATGTGAAACATACACACAGTAGAGTATTATTCAGTTTTAAAAAGGAAGGAAATTCTGACACCTACTACGACAAGGATGAGGCTTGAGGACATTAGGCTGAGTAAAATAAGCCGGTCCCCGAAAGACAAACACGGCAGGGGATGAGGTTCCTACGGTGTCGAATTCATAGAGGCAGAAAGCAGAATGGTGGGTGGCGGGGCCTGGGGGTGCGGGTGGGGGTTGGCGTTAACGGCTGCAGAGTTTCCACTGACGATGATGAAAAAAGCTATGGGTACAGATAAGGGCAATGGTATCTAACATGTGAATGTACTTAACGCCACAGAACTGTACTCTTAAAAACAGTTAAACTGATAAATACTACTGTGTATATCTGACACAATGGGGGGCACTGTCTTCCTTGTTCTTCTTCCCTCTCCATCTCTCTGTCTCAGTCTTTATCTCTATGTCTGTCTTTTTCTTTCTTTCCCATCTCTCTCTGTGTCTCTGTTCCCCTCTGTCTCTGTCTCAGTCTCTGCTTCTCTGTCTTTTCTTTCTGTGTGTCTCTGTCTCTGTCTGTCTCTGGAGCCCTGAGCAGGGTTGGCTCAGAGCCAGGCCACCTGCCCAGCTGCCCCAGGCCCCCAGACTCAAGAGAATCCTATCCTGCTGTTGCTCTCTTAAACTTCATAGTAAGTATTGAACAAAGGCACTGATCCCATAAAACGTGTGGCAGCCTCAGCCACTCAGCTGAACTGCTCTTGAATCCACAGAAACAGAGAAAATCAGTGCCTGTTGGTTGAGTTTTGGGGTAATTTGTGAAGCCTGGACCACGGACACACTTGTGAAACACGCCCAGTCCACGAACAAGAAGACTGGGGCTCAGAGCAGTGCAGTGACTGCTGCGGCAGCTTCTCTGGGTGGGGGCAGCGGAGGGGGCGGAAGGCGGGGCCCGAATCCAGGTCTCTGAGCTCCAAACCTCTGAACACCGCCTCGGAAACGAGGGCCCTCACAGCTTATGCCCTGCTTCCCAGGGGAGCCCTCTTGGCTCCTCCCAGGGTCCCTCCAGGCCCTCCCTGCGGCTGAGGCCCTGGTCTGGGAGTGGCATGGACACGGCTGCTCAGCACAGCCTGGAGTCCCTTGTTAACAGAGTCCCGGGCACCATCCTGGTGCACCTGACTCAAATGTGGGCGAGAGGGCCCAGGAATCCACCCTGACATGTTCCCTGGGTGCCTCTGAGGCCACAGGCCCACTGTCCCCTCTGTGTCTCCTGGCTACCTCCCAGCATGGACAAGATCTGGGTCTTGGGCTCCTCAGAAGTCCCTAAAGGGATGAGAAGTGAAGAGAGACAGGCAGCTATGCTGTGGGGACAAGGGGCCCCTCACACCTGAGGCGGGTGGGCAGAGGCTGACAGGCCCCCGGAAATCTGCTCCAACTTCCAGGGTCTGGGGTCCCAGCAGCTCCTGTGACTGTGTCTGGGCTGAGTCTGTACTCAGTCTGGAGGTTGCAGAAAGAAGGGTCCTACTGCAGGTAGGGCAGCCACACTCCCTAAGGCCAAGACCCGGGCTCCGGGGACTCCACGGGCCCCCAGGGCAGCTGATCCCCACCCCAGACCGCAGTTCCAAGAGCCCTGGACTCGGGGAGAGCAGAGGTCCTCCAGAATCAGACCTCAATCCTCAGACTTCAGACCTCAGACCTCAGACCTCAGAGCTCAGGCTGAGGCTGGGTATGGTCTTTGACTGGTCTTTGATTTCCAAACTTTTTTCCTCTGTAATCAGGCCATCACATTGCTTTTCTGAAGTGTCAGAATGTTAGACTCCTGTGTGTTGTCACCAGAATCTTGGCACAGAGTTACAGAGTGGTGGGCAGGAACCTGTCCAGGAGGAACCCGACCTTGGCCTCCCCCAGGGGGCTGCGCCAGAGTCTGTGCAGGATTCCCTCTGGGTCAAAAGGAGGAGATGTTTCCAGGGGCCTGAGGGTGGGAACCTTCAATGGGGAAGGAAAGGGATGCCTTCAGGGTCCTCCTGCTGCCTGTAATGGGAGAGCTGGGACCTCCCCCGCCCCCCACCTCCCACCCCACCACAGGCAGCTCACCAATGTTGGAATGCTTCAGGAGACGGCAGATTCGAGCCTCTCTCTCCAGCTTCTGGTGATCTGGGGAAAGAAAGGGACACAGCATCACCTTGTGGCCCTGCAGCCAGTGGCCCCCTGGAGCCCCTCGACGGCATGCTGGACGGGCCGCCAACCATGAGACTCACGGCTAGGAGACGTGGCCACCACTTCCTGCGATGTCTACCCGGCTGACCACCGCCTGCCCAGGGGACACGTCAGGTTGTACCCCCTACCCATGCCTGGACCCCCGGCTGGCAGCGCTGGTGCTGGAAGAGGCTGCCCAGGGCCTGGAGCAAGAGGCCCATGGGAGGCAAGGTTGGTGCTCACTCGGGGCCAAAAGTTTCCCCCACATGACGCAGGAAGAGAAAATGCCGGCTGTCAGCAACAGAACTGACAGCACCAATTTAATCTTTTCCTTATCTGTCCTAATTCCGTTCTCTGTGGAGCTTTCTGCTGAGGCCCAGTTTGTTCATCAGAGGCGGCCGTGGGCCGGCAGAGCAGCGCTGTCGGCCGACTGGGGGTGTCCGACCAGTGTGCGGGGTCAGCCTGGGGCCGGGCCTTCCTCTGGCGGGGCATCTGGGGAAGGGATGTGTGACCTAACATACCCGCCCCCACACCAGCACCCCACGCACAAACCTCCGAAACACAGGCCTGGATTTTGACGGGTCCTGGTGTCGATGCCAGGTCAGCTACAAGAGGAGTCAAGACCTCAGAGGACCTTCCACGGGATCTAAACTTTTACGCAGGTTAAGATGAGGCTCCCTAAAATTATGTTTTGGAGAGTGCTTTTGAAATTTATGAAACAAAGTGGTCATGGGTATGCAACATGATCCCCAGATTTTCAAAATGGTAGACTTTGGACCAAGTCTTAAAAATTACCAAGCATTACTCAGAAAGTTCGAGAGAAATAAAAATTCCCTAAGTCATCAAAAAAAAAAAAAAAAAAAGCCTCAGAAGGAAGTCACCCCAGGCAAGATTGCTACCGATCCTGAAACTACCCCTCCTCCCCCCAGCCCCATGTGCCTCCTTCCACCCCGAGAAGCACAGAACCTCAATTCCTGGCCCCCAAGGGCTGAGCAACTTATCAGCCAGAAGTTTTATCTTTCAAACAAACAGAGGTGCCAGGAGGATTTTAAAAGCTGATGAGATTATAATGGCGAAAAACTGAAAAAAACAAAAACCTATTTCTACTGACCAGAGAAGGCAGAAATAAATCACACAACAGAACACACCCATCCATGTGCGTATCACCCCAATCTTCCAACATGAGGACAAGTGGAAGAAGCCGCTCACAAAAGAAGACCCAAACTGCAATTCGTTCACACTGAGGCCAACAAGCAGGGCACTGGCACGCGTGTGTGGCCGGATGGCAAAAAAAGGCGGGGGATCAGGACGGAGGCTGCCCCAGGGTGGGATGTGACTGCAAGGGGGTGTCTGGGGCCTGGAACACCTGCCCCCACCCCTGCTTGCCCCGGGCCCTTCACAGTGAGGGCCTGAGGACAGTAATATACCAGAGAAGACCACAGGATCACCTGATTCACCAGGGAACTCCTAACAGCCCCACTAGTGGGACACAGTTAATGGGCTAATTACAGTATGTTCTCAGAAGCAATAAAGTCACTGGGCAGGCCTCCTCAGACCTGCCAGCCCATCCCTGGCTCTGCTGGGAGGCAGGGTGGACTGAGGGAATGAGGAAGACCCAGCCACCAAGTCTTCCTGCAGGAAGGGCGCCCCCTGGCCCATCTATGGTCAGCTCTCCCTGGGCTGAGTGACGATGGTGGGCTGGGAGCCTCAGGACAGCCCTGAACATGGACATACCTGCAAACAGGTGTGTGCCCTTTTGGAGTGGGGCAAACCATGCCTGCAGACAGAACATCTCCAGGAGATCCAGCAGGCTCTCCCTCCTCTCAGGATGGGCACTCAGCCCGCCCCCCACCCCACCCCCCCTGCCCCACGCCGTAGCCCCGGAAATGCTAACACCTCCCTGAGCTGCTCATCTGGCTCCCACCTGTCTTTCCAGATCCCTTGTGACTGGGAGGGCTCTGGCAAAACCACAGGGCAGTGGGTGGGCCTTCGGGACAGACCCGCACGTCTTGCCTCACTCCATCTCCATCTTGCCCTCACCTCCATACCCAATGCAGCAAACGTTCCCCATCCTGCTGGGGGGTGGGTACGGCATAAGTAGACAAGATGCAGCCCAAGAGTCACCCACCATTCAGAGGGATAAGTGGAAAACAGCTACAGAAGAACACAAGCGACGTGGCTTCCACATTTCCATCTGTATGAAGCTCATTAACAGGCAACACCAAACATAACAGGGGTCTGGGTCCTATCTGTGAGGCTCACTTTAAAGGGGAGGGGAGTGGTCCTTGCAACAGCCAAGATGACAGCTCCCCCGCAGGCAGCAGTATGGAGGCCTGGATGTGCAGGCTGGTGGGTTCGGGGGGTTGTTCTGTTCTTGCTTAGTGGGGTTTTTTTGACACTATCTGAACACTTTTTAAACTTTAAGCTGCAAGGATGGCACAAAGTGCCAATGGAAGGGGCATTTCTGTACAATCTCTGTTCTTCCTATGCACGTACTAACTTCCTCTGCGGCAGGAGTGAGTAAGCCCCACACTTGATGTCCCTCTACCAGGTTAAGAGCTCGGTGCGTGTTTTGTAAGAACAAGGACGTTCTCTTACGTAATCTCAATGCAGTTACCCTACTCACTAAATCCAGTGCAGATACAATACTCAGTCCAACCTACAGTCCATATTCCAATTTTGTCCCTGTCCCCATAATGTCATAGCTCATTTCCTCCTGATGTGGATGGCTTGCCCCAGACAGGGCCGGGGCAAGGCTGAGGTCAGAGAAAGCCCAGGATGGTAAGGTGATAAGAGCAGGGGTGGTCATCTTTCCTGGAAAAATTGCCTGATTGCAGTCATAAATAAAAGCCAGGAGAAAATTCATGTGGAGACCCATCTTTGGGAAGCAGATAATTTAAACAACCATATTCCTGAGTCTTATCACCAATGGCAGAGCCCCATCCAAAAAACTCTTGTCCTACTCCTGAGTATGTTTGGGGGATAAATTACTTGTTTGGGGCCAAGAAGGGACACCAGGTTGCCCAGCCCAGGTGCAGATGTCTACCCCATGGCCACGCAGGTTATTGGACCCTCTTGGCTGTCTCCTTTCCGTATCAGGCACAACAGCACTTTACCAGAGAGCAGCTCTGAAACTTTGTATCACGACACATGTTCCAAGCTGGTCAAAGTCCAAGTGCAGACATTTCATTAAGATCATAACTGGTCTGCTCTGGGTGGCAGAATTATGAATAATTTTTATTCTTTATATTTTCCCCAACTTTGACAACAACCTTGTGTTACTTTTGTCATAGGGAAAAATGCTGTTTTGTTTTTTTCTAATTTGGTCCTGTCTCCAGTAAGCACAAAGCCACTGGTTAAATATGATGAGAGTGTGTCAAAAAAATTTGCCCTGAAATTAAAAATCTAAGTTGATATTCCATGACCTTGGATGGGAACCAGAAGCCATAAGAAGGGGCTGGAGGAGGAGGCTGTTCCTCTCGAGTCCAGTAGGCTGACCTTGGGCCAGGCATGCGGCCGTGGGAGGAAGAACCCAGCATCCCAATTCTGCCCACATCCTCTGATTTGCTTTCGGATCTTCCCGACCCAGGAATCGAACTGGGGTCTCCTTCATCGCAGGTGGATTCTTTACCAACTGAGCTACCAGGGATGCCCCTCTACAAAGTCGAGGAGCTACTGTCTCCGAATTTCAAAATTAACATCGTAATAGACAACCATAGACATGGTTGGCGGAGTCAAATTTAACCCAGTCTGCTTCACACAAGAAGTGCAACCCAGTCCTAAACTGTCAGTGAGAATCTGGAGGAGACTCCACCTAACCTGTCCCCTGGTGGACAGCAGGACATGTGATGGGCCAGCGACCCTGAGCAAGCTCTGTGACTTCTCGGGGCTGCCGCACCTGCTCAGCCTGCCACCTGCCTCCCTCCCGGAACTCTGGCCCCAGAGGCTTGTCTGGACTCAGAAGACCACAGCAGTGACCACCAAGCAGGGCCATGGAGAGAACACGATCAGAAGGCTGCCCACCCCAACCAGGACCCCTCAGCACACCGGGTACCCTAGTGCTCCCTCCAGAAGGAAGTCCAAGAGTCCTCTTGAGCAGCCAGACCCTGCCATGCCCACTGCAGTGATATCCTGGCTGGGCAGGCAGTGAGCAACCCCAAGAGGGGCCCACCAGCAACTGCCAGGGCTCTAGAGGTCGTGGGGGCATTGAATCCAGCTGAGAGGCTCAAAAGGGCCCTCCCAGAGCCGCAGCCTGGTGCGCTGAGGGTCTGGGTGTCCAGAGTTGCCCTGAGACCCAGCACCTGCTGCTTGTGACCCCCTGCCATGTCAGCTAGTGATTAGTTACTAACATTGGTATGTGGCTCGGCACGTGTCCCACACCTGTGCAGGTTTGCATCCAAGGACGAGTGAGCCCTGAGGATCCACCCCACTGGCACCCCTACGCATCCTGCCCCCAGACGGTGCTGGGCCCCCTCTCCCGCGTTGGTCCCTTCATCTCCCCTCACGCACACTGGCTCTGGGGTCTCAGGTCAACCTCCGAAACAGGGTGTGGAAGAATGAGGGGCCAGGGAGTGGGGGCACAAGCCAAGCCCCCTCCAGCCTCCACCCTGTTGAGGGGAGGGCTCTCTGCCCCCCTCCCGCCCACAGGCTGAGCATGTCCCAGGAAGCCCGGGGACACCCATCCTGGGTCCCAAGGAGCAGAGCAGCAGTACCATGAGCCTCAAGGACAGCAGGGTAGGGGGCGGGAGGGGGGATGCCAGAGGGGGTTTTGGAGGAGTCTGCCATTCCTGGGGGTACAGCTTCAGTTCCCACACCCCCTCTGATGTGAAGCTCTAAAGGGGAACTCCTGAGTTCAGCCATCTTGTAAAAGCTCAGGCATCTAATGGATCCGCACCCATGGAGACCCACCTAAGTACCTGTGGGCCCGCTGCCAAAGATGACTGGTGTGGTGCATCTGG